CCCTGCCCCTCCTGGAACTGGGGCGGCTATGGACGATTATGTGGCCCACAGGAAGGGCCCTGGCTTCTACTAGGCAGGGATTCCACAGCCTTAGAGCAGGGCCAGGTCTCTCTCCCAGGAGGGCTCCCAAGGCACATGACCTTGTCCCAGTTTAATAGCGAGCTTGTCATTGACTCTGGCTGGCCAGGGACTCTGCATCTTGTGGGAGCGGACACCGAAGGCTGCGTCCTTGCCATTCATGAGTCTTCAGGCAGCGGGGAGGACTGTGTCCCTCTGTGGGTCACAGAGACCCAGCCTGTGTGTGTGGCACCTGACACAGCAAAGGGGATTCTGTGGAGGGGCTTAGGTCAAAGACCTTGACGTAGGGTGTGATTCTAGACTGTCTGGGCGGTCCAGTGTACTTGCAAGGGTCTTTTTTTTAAAATTTTTATTGTTTTATTATTCATATGTGCATACAAGGCTTGGTTCATTTCTCCCCACTGCCCCCACCCCCTCCCTTACCACCCACTCCGCCCCCTCCCGCTCCCCCCCACCCCCTCAATACTTAGCAGAAACTATTTTGTCCTTATTTCTAATTTTGTTGTAGAGAGAGTATAAGCAATAATAGGAAGGAACAAGGTTTTTGCTGTTGAGATAAGGATAGCTATACAGGGATTGACTCACATTGATTTCCTGTGCGTGGGTGTTACCTTCTAGGTTATTTCTTCTTGAACTAACCTTTTCTCTAGTTCCTGGTCCCCTTCTCCTATTGGCCTCAGTTGCTTTTAAGGTATCTGCTTTAGTTTCTCTGTGTTAAGGGCAACAAATGCTAGCTAATTTTTTAGGTGTCTTACCTATCCTCACCCCTCCCTTGTGTGCTCTCGCTTTTATCATGTGCTCAAAGTCCAATCCCATTGTTGTGTTTGCCCTTGATCTAATGTCCGCATATGAGGGAGAACATCGATTTTTGGTCTTTTGGGCCAGGCTAACCTCACTCAGAATGATGTTCTCCAATTCCTATCCATTTACCAGCTAATGATAACATTTCGTTCTTCATGGCTGCATAAAATTCCTTGTGTGTAGATACCACATTTTCTTAATCCATTCGTCAGTAGTGGGACATCTTGGCTGTTTCCATAACTTTGCAAGGGTCTTTAAAAGATGGAAGAGAGAGGCAGGAGAGGGTGAGATCATGAGGTGTGAAGATAGAGGCAGAGGTCAGTGCTTCTGTGACTGAACTGGAAGAGGTTGGAAGGCGCCAAGAGCCAAGGAAAGCACAGCCCATAGGTGCTGGAAGAAAGGGAATGGATTTTGTCCTGCAGCCTCCAGAGGGAGTACAGTCTCACTGACACCTTCACCTTAGCACAGGGACTCCCATGGCAGGATTGTGACCTGTAGCCTTGTAGGATCTTACATTTGTGTTGTTTCAAACAGTGGCTTAGTAATTTGTTACAGCAGTGGTAGGAGACCTCTCCCAGGTAGGGAGGGATAGGCTGAGAAAAAAGGTGGGGCTGTGGCTTCCCAGGCCTCTTCTGAGACCCTAAGCCCATAGTTACTTTGTTTGTTGCCAATAAAGTATGCTTAGTCGTCAGGGGCTTTGGCTGCTCAAGAGGTCTGTGATTTCCTTTGTCGTCTTTATGCTACTTTGCCCTCTCCTGCAAACAAATAAACAAAAACCCAATTAAGTTTTGGGGAAAAATTAATTCCTTAAGCTGGTTCTTAACCTTTTTGTAGGTACTAGCCTCTTCGAGGTCCTGTTGAAAATTGGATCCTGGCTCCATAAAAATATATAAAAAATTTGCATACAATTTTAGAGATTGCATAGATTTCTCAAAGCTGCCCTTTGGTGCTTGGGAGGCTACTAAGGACTTCCTCTGACGCCCAGATAAGAGCCCTGGTGCTAAGTTAATTCCCACTCAGGCGGAATGGCTGCTCTCCTAGCAGGGTTTCCAGTGGGCTTTACCATATCTTTCTTCATTGGAGCCTCATTATTTGCTAACTCACCTATTCTCTGAAATTTGTTGTAACCCCAAGATCAACACTAATGGTGTTATTGAGGTCATTTGTGCACATGGACAGTGTGGTGAAAATTTCTGTTTCCCAATGTGCATGTTCCCAGCTAAGGTAGACCAGGGTGACACTCTGCCTTCTTGTCTCATACTGTGAGCAAGGGTCCTTGTCAAGATTTACTTAGAGCCACAGTTTTTGTGAGTTTTTTTTTTTAATTTTACTTTTTAAAATAGCCCCCAGCATAGTGCTGAAGTGCTGTCTGACATTTCTAAGTGCAAGAAGGCGATGGCTGTGCCTTGTCTTCCTAAAGGAAAAATGCTTGTGTTCGATAAGCTTTATTTTTGTTGGAGTTATTGTCTAGGATTCACAGGAACCTAACTCTGTACTTCCCCAGGAGCAGGGTGGTGACTTTGTACAAGGGAACCATGAATAATGGGGCCTAAGGGCAAATGCAAGTTGTTGGTCTCTCCCTGCCTTGCTGGAAATCTGCCTTTCTCTTTATACTATATCCTAGCTACAGTCCTGCCTGGGGGGGTTGAGGGCTGTCTCGGCTTTATGATTTGCCCTGCCAGCTGCCACCCATGTCTGTGCCCCAGCCTGGACAGACACATTGTGTTTGGCGGGGGATGGCAGGTCCTATTGTGAGACCCACGGGTATCCGTCTACCACCTTCAGGAACAGCGAGAGGAGAAAGAGGAAGGCCCATGATGGCTGCGGAACAGGTGGCTCTGAGGCTGCCAGCCCAGCTGGGGGCTGAAGATGGGACAAAGAGGACCCTGAGACTGACTGGGATCTGTGGTCTGATAAGTACAGGTGCTCTGAGGGGGCAGTTGAGAAGGGCAGGAAATCAAGTATCCTGGAAAAATGTGGGGCAGTGGATCTTTTGAGTTTGGGGTGTCAGAACATGTGTCAGCCAAAACTTAGTCCCACCCCCTAAAGTGCTTGTTAATGCTTTCCACCCTGCCTGTTGTGAGTGGACATCTGCAGAGACAGCAGGGGCCAGGTCGTTCCCAGAGCGGCTGCTCTCAGGGCTGGGTGCAAGGATCTGTTGTTTGCTGCCGTTTTGTTAGCGGCACAGTATAGTCTGTGATCAGAAAACTTCCAAATTCTTTGTGTCCCACTGGGAAGACTCCATGGCAGGACATATGGGTGTAGATGGAATTCATTAAAAGTTAGGGAAGAGAAATACAAAAGTGAGCATGGTGAGCACAGGTGGAATCTGGAGACAGAGAGCGTGCTTCTCTTCTCCAGGTGCTTTAAAAACCTATGCTGACCTAGAAGAAGGAACCAGGAACCAGGAGATTCCCATCCAATAATCAATGAGTGTGGAGAGGCATGTTCCGCAGATGAGGGCCGTCCCTGAGCCAGAGTGTGGGCAATCTGAAATGCAGTATTAAGTCATATATTTTCTATGAGTCCTGAACTCTCCCTACTTGTAGCCTGCCTCAATTTTTCTTTTTAACATTTCCCTCTGGGACCTTCATTCCTAGTTGAAATTCCTGAGCTCTGGGAGTGGGGACCCCTTTCCTGGTGCTTGTGGGGGACTGAGGATGCAGAGGTAACTCCATCCTGGGCCCCTGGGCCCCTCAAGGGCTCTGGGCATAGAATTGGAGGTCTGATGCTGTTGGATGGGAAAAGGCCCATCCTTATTTTCATACCTCCTAACTAAAATTTAGCACTTCCTTCAGTTAGAGAAGTAGGCAACAAATCCACATCTCTAACCTTGTCATCAGTAGAAATTATAGACATTTTCATGTCACCTGAAACCTTCAAACAGCATCGATTCCCTTCACTAGTTTGAAGTTATGGTAGTTGATAGACATACCCCACTAGATTTTGTTATTTAAGATGCTAATTATGAGGCACATGAATTACTATAATATTGCATTAGAAATATTTTGATAACTAGGTTTCAGTAGGATTAGTATCCTTTGTCATCTTATTTATTTTGTTGTCACTGATTTTTTAATAATAGCTTTATTGAGATACAATTCAAGTACCATACAACTTATCCACCAAAGTGTGTGATGCCTTTTCTTTTTTTTAGTATATTTACAGGGTTGTGCAACCATTAACATACTCTAATTTTAGAATATTTTCATTCCCCTTAAAAGAGACCCTGTAGTCATTAGCAATATCACTGCATTCCCCCTTTCTCCACTTTCAGCCTCTGGCAACCACGAATCTACATTCTGCCTGTTCTGGACATTTCATGTAAATGACATACTCATAAGGTCTTCTGTGATTAGCTTCCTTCATGTTTTTACAGTTCATCCATGTTTCTATTTTGTTTGATGCATCTATTCTGAGAAGGGTCCCATTGGCCTGCCCTGCCTTGGAATCACCAGACGGTCCCATGGCATCCTGAAGAAGGTCAAGGTCCCCTGCTTCTAATGGGCCTCCCCATCTATTTTGCTCTTTTTTGCTTATAAACCAGGCTGTACCTTTGGTGTGGGCATTGTTGATTACTACTAACGACCTAGTGACCCAGTGGGCAAGGCTTGCAACTTGCCTTGGGACTTCTGGCCCTAGCCCTGGGTCATCCAAGGCATGCTGGCCCTTCTGCACGGATGTCCCCCGGGTAGAAGCAGTTTCTTGGGGAATTTCAGGATGAGTCCTGCCATGGCTGACGCTAAAGAAGGAAAGGCTTCACACACGGATAACGGTGCTCATCCTGTTTCTGAGCATGTGCAGTGGGATGCCAGGGGACAGGCCAGCCCAAGTGTTTGTTTTCTGCTCCCTGTTGGAAGCCGGAACCCCAGCACTGCCAGCCCCCTGGGGCTTACCCACCTTTCCCAGCCCTCAGGAAGCCATCGGAACTTCCGAGAACAAGCTGGTGGTGGGAAGGTCTAAATCCTTGCAGCTCTGTGTTTCTCCACACGGGGTTTGTGGGCTGAGCTATTGTCTGTGCATTTCCTTTCTCACGTGGGTGGGAGCCAGATTGGCAAGCACGGTGTGAATGAAGGGGCGGGAGCTTGCTGATGTCTTAGCTGATGTGCTTTCTCCCCTAGCTCCAGAAGAGAAGGAAGTCATTAAAGGACAGTACGGAAAGCTCACCGATGCATACGGCTGCCTGGGAGAGCTCAGGTTAGAATCGGGTGAGTAGCCATCACCCCCACTGCCTAGTGTGTCCCTTGGGTTGGTTTGGGGAGGCTGCAGAATTAGGTATTCTGTGTTGACCACTTTCGTCTCTAAAGATCTTTATATCTCTCAGTGTGCTCCTCCAGCGGGGAAAGGGGTCCAGATGATGGTAGCCTGGCTGTCACCTATATGGTGTGGAGGAAGATGTAGCTTCTGGCCCTGGGTGCCAGGGACCTGCATCATTTGCCCTCCAGAATTAAGTTTTTCCAGTCTGATCTGAAGTATCTGCCCTGGTGTTTGGTTGTTTCCAAGGGATCTGTGCTTCTAAGGTGAACCTGGTGGGTGGCTAAGGACGAGAGACCAGGTCAGACACTAGAGCATCACTGGGCTCCTGGGTATACCTGAGGGAGGAGGGGCTGGACTAGGGCTTGGTCGCCAGAAGAGAAAAGCTGTTGAGGAGTGTGGGAGGGAGGGAAAGGAAAGGAAACTGCCTCCAAACAAGTGGTCTGACGGAAGGAGAGGGAGACGTGGGCGTCCCTACTTGCTCTGAGCCTAAAGGGCCCTGCCAGTGGCAGCCACTTCTACATCACCTCTGCAGCTACTGGGCTTCAGATCCCAGGATTTTCTGTTCTGCAGCTACCCTTTCCTTCCTCCTCCCTCAGGCACACCTATTTGATTTCTCCCTTCACCCCACGCCCACCATCAGAGACCCCAAAGTGGAGATTCCCGGTGGCCTCCAGGACCAAGCATGGGTCACATTCCTGATGGGAATGGCTATGAGTTGTACAAATTCAGGCTTTGGGGGGCTTTCCCAGAGCCACACTCGTGACACTTCTCTGCATCACACATGTCCTCCATTGGCAGAGACTGCGAGTTTGGAAGTTGACAATACAACACTGATAATTGGCCATGACTTTTCTGAGTCTTTTCTGTCATGATGAGAATATGCATCGTGCATCCCTAAACATTTCTGTCATGAATGAGCTATGATGATTACATTAATCATACCCAAATAGGAAATGTTTAGGGAAAACAGTACTTGTGCTGGGCACCAGTGGCTCATGCCTGTAATCCTTGTTACTCAGGAGGCAGAGATCAGAAAGACTGTGGTTCAAAGCCAGTGTGAGCAAATAGTTCTCGAGACCCTATCTCAAAAATAACCTTCACAACAAAAGGGCTGGTGGAGTGGTTCAAGATGTAGGTCCTGTGTTCACGCCCCAGTACCACAAAAACAACAAACAAAACAAAAACAGTACTCGTGTGACAGAATGCACTTATTAAATGTCTGGTTTGTGCCAAGGGATAGACATAGGTTAACTTCTAAAAATAAAGTCATGCAGTAATCCCTGTTTGTCCCTGTTTTCAGTAAAGAAAACAGGCTCAGAAGGTTCACGTAATTTGCCTAAAGAGGGGAACTGGGCTAGGACTCAAACCTCCATCTACCTGCCTCTGAACACTTGCTTTTTCCATGAGAAGGAGCTGCCTGCCAAGGGTGTGGGCAGGCTTTGCCCTCTGCAGTATCTTTCTGAGATTACAAGGATTCCCTGTGATGAGGTGAGGATGCTGGCTAACAGCGATTTACACTTTGTCTGTGTCAGGTTTGGTTGAAAGGATTTTAACTTATTAACTCAGTGGGGACAATGGGCACCATTGCTGATCTGCTTGGCACACACAAAAAGGAAGCCCCAGACACTTCTGTACTGCACTCCTCCTGTCCCAGACCCTTTTCTTCAGGTGTAACATCCAGGTACTTGAGATGGCTTACAGTCAAATCTTACAGTTGTAGTTGACACATGTAGTTTTGGAACATGAGTGAATGATTCACTTTACATCTGACAGGGATGTGGATTTAGGGAAGTACAGTGACTGCAGCAAGTTCATGTCATTCTCCATTGATGGCCTAGGTTTTAAAGCTGTACCTTGTGCCTCCAGGAGCTGTTCCATCACCAGGCTGTTTGCCTTTCTGTAAGGGGCAGGCATCTGGTTTCCAAGGACAGGAAGAGTAGCACGTTCCGATTCCATGGGACTGTGATTTTCTGGACTGTGATCTAAGATCAGCTATATAGTGTTGATCCTGAACAACAGGGTGCAGCCCCCAAAGAAATCCCATCAGAGTGAGTCAGTGTCTCTGCAGGGTCTGCAGTGCAAGGTAGGCAGTGTGACCCTAGTTGGCCTGGCCAGGCCCTCCTCCATTCCTCAGATGTGTCCCTACCCCTTCCCCCAAAGGGCATGGACACAGCCCCCTGTGGGCCAGGCCAGCCCAGCCAAGCAGGGTGCATGCCAGGTGTGGAGGTTTCCATGTGTTGAGGCCGTCAGCACCCAGTCCTATTTCTGATGACTCCTCAGACCCAGGCCAAGTGTCAGAGCCCGCTTTCAAGGTGGGCTAGAAGTCTCTGGATGTGGGGAGGATAAGTGTGATTTTCCAAAGGTCATGGTTACTTGGCCTATTTTCAGTGCATTCTAGAAAGTGCCCTGGGGTATCTGAAGGAAGAGACAACTAGGCATTTGGGCCAATTCTTTCAAACCCCTTTGGTTATGTTGAAGAGTATTTGGCTCTAAAATTTTTTTCTTTCCTCCTGGAAGTCCCCAATCTAGACTGGGATCTACTTCCTTTTGTGTTTTTCACATGTTGGGTATGTTGGATGGCGTGGAGAAAAATTCCAAGTTACAATTGACCTGGGATGACCATCCACTTTGTGAGTGGGCCTCCCTATTGATATTTTAGATTCTTTGGAAAGAAAGAGGCCCCCCTCAGGCTCTCAATGTGGGACAAGTTGTTAAATTCTAAACCACCTAAAGGAGAACAGACTTTTGAGTAGAAATTAAGAAACATGCACCAAAAGGAATAGGGCTTCCTAGTGTATCCATGGTACAGAGCATAGAAAGTGAGTGAAACAGAAAAGAATTTATCCCAATGATTGTAGGGATTTAACTCCTCTTGAACCTGAACTCCTAAGACTATTCTGTTTCCTAGCCTCAAGAGAATATTCAAATATAGTCTATAATAAATTGTGTTTCCAGGAGTTGTGTAGTGCACATTCTATGAGGCTGTATATAATAGCCCAATACCTTCTCCACCAGACAGACCTCCTGGCTCTGTTCTTTCTTCATGACTAACTGACCTTTTGTTCATTTAGCCTCTCTAGGGCTGTTTTTTCTATCTGTAAAACCAGGGAAACAGCCTCATTTCTGCTCCACACAGTCTTAAGAGCTCTTCATGAGGGGATGAACTGATAGCCCTGAAAACTATGGGGTACTTCTCAAACTCCAGGCAGGCTGGCCATGGAAGTTCATTAGGGTGTCACCTGTGGACAGTACATTTCTGGGGAGGATCCTGTACTCTCTTTGCACCTCAGAAGCTCTACTTTCCCCCTCCTCTATCTCTGGCATAGCCAGAGTGAGGAAGGGACTTTGGGAGGACAAGGCAGGAGGTCAGAGGCCAGGCTGGTGGCTTCAGGTTGTCACTCCACATGGGCTGACAGAAGGCTGGTTTCTGTGAGTGGTTAACTCAGGAGGAGATTTCTCTGCTTAGGAAAGTTTGAGTCTTTAGTCTATTGAGATACAGGGTGTGCCTTATTTAGTATCCAGTATTGAAATGGACTGGCCTTTGTCAGCCTTAGAATAATTTATTTTACTACTCATTCCCAAGGGTGTGCCAGTTAAATATTTGACAGCCAGCTCTGAGGGCAGGGGCTCTGATATGCAGTGTTTGCTGATTTTCGTGGTGTAATTGTGCCAGCCAGTCTCCTCTGTGGGCTTGGGAACAGATGTGCACCATGGACTCTCACAGGCTGGTGAGCTGGACCCCAGCACAGCACTGAATTGTTGCCACTCTGTGTTTCTCAAAGGAAGGGGGAGAGGGACTGGAGACCGTGCTTTGTGGGATTGTTAGAAGAAGGTACTCTCTCAAGTACTTAGAGACCACCTTGTGCATCTCCTCTGAGGCCCAGAGAAAGTGAGCAACTTATCTAAGAACCCACTGGCCATTGGAGGGGTATAGAGCCCAGGTCTTCTGAGTTTGATATTTCTCTTGCTATAAGATTCTCTCTGGCTTCAAGCCCCTGGGCTCATCCTGTACTAACCATGCCTGAGACTCTCCCCAGGCCTGGTTTGCGTCTTGGTGTCAGAAAATTGATCCTACCTCATAAGAGCAAAGCCCAGGTCCTGTGCACAGAGTGAGCCTTCAGAGGGGCCTCACATACCTGGGGCAGGTGAACCCCACAGACCTTGCTTTGTTCCCCAAGACATGGACAGGTGGGCAGAGGCCAGCAACTCCCAGCAGTCTGCAGCTGGGTTTGACCCAGGATGTTTCTTTACAATCTAGTGGAGTGCAGACGAGGCTGCAAGAGGATGCTTGACCCTTGCTGGGTCAAGCAGGGCTAGGTGAGCCATTCTTGGAGAGGCCTTGGTCCTGAGCTCAGAGCTGTGTTCCTCTGTGGCCACACATACTGTCTAAAGTGCACAACTCCCAGACCCTCAAGCCTTTCCTTTAATGGATCTGCCCAGTAACGTGCCCATGGTGGAGGGCAGGTTTCCCATCCTGTCTGTCCCACCCGCAGTCCTCCTTCCATGTTCCATCCAGAACATTAACAAGTTCCTTGCTTGGGAGTGGCAACCTCTAGGTGCCAAACAGAGCCACAGTGTTGTCAGCCACATCAGGGACTGTGTACCAAGTCTGTTTGCAAAGCAGGGGCTGGATACTTGTCTGCTCAGAAAACTGAAGGACTTAATTGGGGATCTGCTGTCAGCATTAGCAGTGACTTTGTTAATAGGTCACCAAAATTTTTTTTTAGTGCTAATTACAAAGGACTTTGAAGAATTGTGGCATTTCTGTATTGAAAATGTGAACAAGGTTGTATAGTGTTTACGTGTACACAAATGAAAGACAGAGTTAGAAATGGCACAGAATCTTTCATTCCATCCATTAACAGTGTTCTCTCAATATTTACTTGCCTCTTGATGAGATGCCTTCAAAACACATTTTTACATTTTATATTGAATATTTGCAAAGTGCTTTTTTTACATTGTACTGTTTATATTGCTTGACCAATTGGGTATTAAAAATAAGTACAACAATTAACTAGAAGAAAGTTTTCTTAAAATGGCTATGTAGTGTGATGGAGTAATTATAGAAAACCTAGAAGTTCAAAATATGCTACCATAGGGTAAAAGTCTGGGGCAGGTAGGATGACTAGAGATTCCATCTGCAGTGGACGAACGTGTTTGTGTGGTTCTTAAGTACATGATGGTGCAAGTCCAATCACTGTGCATCCTGTAGGATACTGGGACAGAGACTGCGGCACTTTTATTCCTTCCTGCCAGTATGTCAAATATGCTGAAAAATTTATTTTTTTAAACTAAGGATGAAAACTGTGGTGTGTTTTAAAGTGAACGAGGAGTGCTGACTTGGGCTGCTTGGGCTGCCATAGCAAAGTTCTCTAGACAGGACCTGTTGTTTATAAATACCAGGAGTTTATTTCTCACAGCCTTTGAGGTTGTAAGTTCAAGGTTAAGGTGGCAACAGGTTTGTGTCTGGCTGGCAAGAGCTCATTTCCTGGTTCACAGATAGCAACTTTGCTCTGGGAGGGATTGGGCCTCTTTAATGAGGGGCTTATCCGATGCTGAGGGCCCCATTGTCCTATTCCCATTGAGGGTGAGGACTTCAGCATGTGAATATAGGGGTGACACACCGAGCCCTTTTGGAGAGTACAGCAAGCCATGCTAATTGAACACTACTGGACTTAAGAGTGTGGGCTTAAAGTGAACCCCACATTTTAGCTCAGTTCCGGCACAGACAAGCATTGTGTCTGGATGGTGACTCAGCTCCCCTGGGAACACTACTGGTGTGTGCCTGGTGATGGTGGCCCTGCAAGAGCAGCCTTTCTAGACAGGTTGTCTCTGCCGCCTGCCAGGAAAGAAGAGCATTGCTGTGGAGCCAGAGTTGGCTTGAGCCACTTGCCCGGGTGCTAGAAAGTGGATTTGGATCCCAGCTCCCTTGTGCTGTCACCATGGGCAGGCTACTTGACTTCCATGTGCCTCTGTTTCCCTCCTTATAAAATGGGCTGATGGCTGTGCTGCTTTGGGTTGCTGGGAGGGCTAAGGCAATGCTTATGAAGCACCTGGTGTGGGAAGCACTGTTCCAGGTGTTGGTTATATTTAAGCACCTGACTCTGTGTATTCCCTCCCAGCCTCTTGCACAGCCAAATCCCCTGTGCATGCAGCACCTTTCCTTCCTCTCATTCGCTTTTAGAGCCTCCCATGCCTGCAGGACAACCTTCCCAGCCTCCTCCAGGCTCTGGCCTGTGCTGGAGATGCTGGCTGTCTTCACAGCACCCGGGACTCAGCCCATGCAGAGGCTCTGAGGGAAGAGGGAGGGGGCTAGAAATCCACTTCCTGGCTTGGGTGAAGGGATAAAAGGCAAAAATTACCCATGTCTCATCTTGAGCCTAGGCCATGGGGCTGTCCTGTGGTCACACTAGGGGACTTTGCTGAACATCAGTTTCCTGGCACTTAGGCCCATCAGATCAGGCAGGTGGGTGCTGGGAAATGCTGCTCCCAGAATCCATCCACCCACTCATGGGGAGGAACAGAGCAGGAGGGTCTTTTTTTTTTTTTTTTCATTTTTCTTTTATTATTCATATGTGCATACAAGACTTGGTTTATTTCTCCCCCCTGCCCCCACCCCCTCCCTTACCACCCACTCCACCCCCTCCCGCTCCCCCCCTCAATACCCAGCAGAAACTATTTTGCCCTTATCTCTAATTTTGTTGTAGAGAGAGTATAAGCAATAATAGGAAGGAACAAGGGGTTTTGCTGGTTGAGATAGGATAGCTATACAGGGCATTGACTCACATTGATTTCCTGTGCATGGGTGTTACCTTCTAGGTTAATTCTTTTTAATCTAACCTTTTCTCTAGTTCCTGGTCCCCTTTTCCTATTGGCCTCAGTTGCTTTAAGGTATCTGCTTTAGTTTCTCTGCATTAAGGGCAACAAATGCTAGCTAGTTTTTTAGGTGTCTTACCTATCCTCACCCCTCCCTTGTGTGCTCTCGCTTTTATCATGTGCTCATAGTCCAATCCCCTTGTTGTGTTTGCCCTTGATCTAATGTCCACATATGAGGGAGAACATACGATTTTTGGTCTTTTGAGCCAGGCTAACCTCACTCAGAATGATGTTCTCCAATTCCATCCATTTACCAGCGAATGATAACATTTCGTTCTTCTTCATGGCTAGAGCAGGAGGGTCTTGAGAGGGGTTCCCATTTCAGTCCTAGGGATCAAGGAGGGTCATGGGAGGCATTCCAACAACAGCTGATAGGTATGAACACTGGGACTGAGGCATGGCAGTGACTGGCAGGTTAATAGGGAGGGTGGATCAAGGTCTTTGGGTATAGATAGGGAAGAGGGCTGGGTTCTTGGGTCACAAGAACCCCGAGGAACTGATAAAACAGAGGTTGTTGTTCCCACCCCAGACAGCTGGGCTTGGCCCAGAACCCGAGCTTCTAATGAACTGTAGTAGCTGGGCATGGACACCCAGAGAGACACTGTCCTAGGGTTAGGTGACGAGGGTTCCTTTAGGACTGGGACACCACAAGTGAGCGATGAGCTTTCAGCTCTCTTGTCTGATTTCCCTTCCAGGTGGTGCCTCCCTGAGTTTCTTGGTGTTGGTGACAGGCTGCACATCAGTGGGCAGAATTCCAGATGCAGAAATCTACAAAATCACCGCTATTGAGTTCTACCCTCTGCAGGAAGAGGCCAAGGAGGAGGACCGCCTGCTCGCCCTGAGGAAGATCCTCAGCTCAGGGGTGTTTTATTTTGCGTGGCCCAATGACGGCTCCTGCTTTGACCTGACTGTCCGGGTGCAGAAGCAGAATGATGATAGCTCTGAGTGGGGAACCTCCTTCTTCTGGTGAGGGCCCAGGTTGCACAGAGGGTGGGCTCTGGGTGGCACCTGCACCCTTGACCTCCACCTTGCATCAGCCCAGGATTCTGGGTCATCTCTGGAGGGTTGAGCTCCATGCCCACTGTCTGCATAATGAGAAGAAAAGTAACCCCGAAACCCCACCCTGAAGGCTTGGGGAAAGTGTTCATCTGCAAGTGCTTCCTGTGTCCCAGGCACTAGCACAGTGCCTCTTCCTGAATAAGCTCTTTGTGGCATCTCAGCAGCCCTGGTTATCTGCCATGTCCAAATATTACCACTGACATTTATGAGGCTCTTATGTTCCAGGAGCGTTCTAAGCTCTGTGTGGGATAGGGTCTGTTGCCCCATTTTTCCATAGAGAGACTGAGGCATGAATAGTGAGGGGAGTTTTCCCAAACTCCACATACCTGGGAAGTGGTGGAGGCAGGATTTGAACCCAGGAGTTCTGGCTATACACTCAAGCTGGTAATCACAAAGCTAAACCAGCCCTCTGCATGGAGAAATGGAGCAGCTTGCCTGAGGTGACTTGTAGGAATGTGAGCAGAGAAGCCTGGCTAAGTTTCTGGATGTGTAGGATCATTTGGCCTTCACTCCACGTAAGGATATAGCTGAGCGGACAACCTGTAAATATGTCAGTTGTCTATGGTCTGTAACATGGTTACCCTCAGCCTCCCCCAGGGGTGGGAGAAGCAGGCACAGTGATGGGATCCCACAGCCTTGTGGGAAACCATGCTTGGAATCCCAGCATCCCCTGAGGCCTACTCCAGCCCTTCCTTGGCTTCTCCTGGCTTCGCCCTCAGGGACTGGCTGAAGTTTCCAGGGCCAGGTGAGAGTTCTGTCCTATGAGCTTCAACTTCTGCTCTAGCTCATTAAGTCCTGGCCTCTGTTGAGAAAGCAACCCTTGCTGTGTCCTCACCTGCATCCCCACCCCGAATCCTCTTGGGTCCTCTGCTGTGGTTGAGTTTTGTTTTGCTTTTGTTTTTTTTTTTTTAGTTAAGGTGCTCAGACTTCAAAACACATGCAGAATCCCTAGGGTCTCATTAAGATGCAGGTGCATTTCCAACCAGCTGCCCCCTGGGCTGCAGATCACATGCTGAGTAGCAGATGCCAAATGTGGCATTTCTTCAAACCGCAGCTTCCATGTTGTGAAGGTCAGCGTGTGTCCCTCAAGGCCGCTGGGCCCAGAGGCCACTTTAACGTAGGGGTGTGGATGAACAGAGGCTGAAGCCTGCAGAAGCCAGGAAATTCCTTGAAAGCAGCAGGGGACCCTGGAGTGTCTGGATTGTCCCACTTTTTTTTTTTTTAGTTATCGAGGTTTTGAACTCAGGACTTCACACTAGCTAGGCAGGCTCTCTATAGCTTGAGCCACGCCTCCAGCCCCTTTTGCTCTAGTTATTATTTTTGACATAAAGGCTCGCTTTTTGCCAGGCCAGCCTGGGCTTCAATCCTTTTATTTTACTGTTTTATGCTTCCTGCCCACTCTTGGTTGAGATGGGGTCTCCAGCCTCAAACCATGAACCTCCCGATCTCAGCCTCCCAAGTAGCTTGGATTATAGGTATAAGCCACTGGTGCCAGATACCTTGGCACTTTAATAACTCCCTTCCTAGATGCTAGCTCTGTGACTGTAGATGTGAGGGACACAGAGCCAGGAAGATAAAGAGGTGACTTAGTGGAGTTGAGAGGGGATTGGGGAAACCCATGGTTTACTTTTTGAAGTGGACACAAACTAGATTTGGAGTTGGGGAGGAAGAGGGATCTGTGGAGAGCCCCGAGCAGCTTGGCTGGTCTCCAGGGTGTTGTATATGGACTCAGGGTGGAGCCCATGAAATTGACTGCAGCCGAGTCACCAGGCAGAGTGGCCACAGCTTGATGGCCCAAACCCACTGTTGTGGTGCAGTGTCTGAGGCCTGGAGAGCCACGCAGGAGTCAGATGGCATCCACATTGCATGCAACTAGTGAGCAAGAGAGAGAGGACCATGGCAAGGTTGTCTTTCCAGCTGGTCTCCATCACACTGAATTGCTTCCAGTACACTGAAATCCTGGCAGGAAGCAGCTCCTTTTTGCTCCATAGATTTGGGACTCCTCCTGGAGTGTGACTTGTCCTCTCCAGAGGGTCAGGCAAGTCTCCAACAAATTGGCAGAAGCTCCTTCTCCTGCCTCCTGGTGCCAGGGGCCACAGCTGAGTGACTGGCAGACTCTGGACCCTGGAGGTGTGACCTCGATGCCGTGGTGGATTTAATGTATTTGTTATGAAAGTGGTTTGTCATCTGAGGTTACAGAGTGACTCAAAAGACAGATCCTGTTTCAAGGAAGTCACCTTCTTAGTCATTTTTCAAGCAGAGGAGCTCAGTGGGGCAGATGTGGGCTGGGCTCCCTCAGGGTAAAAGTGGCCATGGTCACAGTCCAGGAGGCCAGCCAGAGAGTAGGGGCCTTGGAGAAGCCCTGGAGCCCCTTGGACTTACAGTAGGATTTCCAGCAGTGAGAACATGCTCCTGCCTTTGAAGAAGCACCAGGGCAGGAATCGCATTGCCTTTTTTAAATAAATAGGGCATTGTCATCTAGATTTGCTCCAGCCTCTGTAAGAAAGACTCCCCTGGTGACAGGCCTCAAGAATGGCACTGCTCAGGTCCCCTGGGTGGTGGGGGACAGAAGGATGATGTGGCTGTCCATAGCTGGGGTGTCACTCAGTGATAGAGCACTCTCCTGGCACGCAGAAGGCCCTAGGTTTGATCCCCAGGGCACCACACACACACACACACACACACACAAAAGAAAACAGAGGAAGTGCTCTGGCTGAAGAGCAACACACTGCCCGTTGCTGGCCCCATGATCTTGGGTAAGTATTTTACTTCTCATGCCTCAGTTTCTTCTTTTTTTGAGACAGTGTTGCTGTGTAGCCCAGGCTGGTCTTGAGCTCACAATCTTCCTGCCTCAGCCTCCCAGGTACTGGGATTATAGGCATACACCACCATGTCTGGCTCTTGCCTCAGTTTCTCTATCTGTAAAATGTGGTTTTGATAGTACCTTTGACATGCAGTCAAGGCTGGGTTGAGTTAATCCATCCCAGAGCACCTGGCACTCAGTGCACTTGTATGAGTTGGCAGTTTTTAGCATCATTACCACCTCGGACTGCAGATCCCTGGACAGTCCACCAGGAAAAACTGGGGCTTTCATTAAGTTTTATTTTTATCTAATACTTTTTGGTGATTTTGGATTGCTTTGTAACACTTTTCATCATTCACCTCATGTGCACATGTATTTAGGTGTGCACATATTCTGCATTAATGTGGTTCCTTTTTACTTGTCATTTTTATCACTGACCATGAGTATCATTTAGTCAAAACATTACATTTTTTTACAGCTGGTGTTCTAATTGAAAAAAAATCCAAAAATCTATAGTGGCCATGCTTCTACACAGAGGTGCCTGGTTGACTTGCACTCCAGCTTTGCTCCCATCGGCCGCTACTGACACCTGGTAGTAGCTTTGGGAAAGGGGTTCTGTCCCATTCCTATATGTCCCAAGTGTAGGTTCCACTGGTCTGAGCTGAACGCTAGGCCTGCATAGGTACCTCCTCACTACCTGCTCTGGGTATTGGGTTTGCTGCAGAGTGGAAGGTGACCTGGATCGCTGTGGGCTCTGTTTTGCAGGAACCAGCTTTTGCACGTGCCCCTGAGGCAGCACCAGGTGAACTGCTGCGACTGGCTACTGAAGGTCATCTGTGGGGTGGTGGCCATCCGCACAGTGTATGCCTCGCACAAGCAGGCCAAGGCCTGTCTCATCTCTCGCATCAGTTGTGAGTGTGCCGGTGCTCGCTTCCACACCCGTGGCGTGAATGATGACGGCCATGTTTCCAACTTCGTGGAGACTGAGCAGGTGAGGGCCAGGCCTATCAATGGCACTGAGTGGTCAGATTCAGTGCAACTCAGGCAAACATATGTTCTGTTGTGGGGCAGAGGAGGCCTTGATGTGTGGGAGCTGATTTCCCATCATGGCTCCTTCCTGCATGTGTGTAATTGGAGCCTTGAATGAAAATGCTTGCCTGGCTTGTCTTTTTTGATTTACATCTTATTCTGGGAAAATGTTGCTGAGCTAAGGTATTTTTAACTAAAAGGAATCAGGAATGGTTGCTGTGGTCAGAAGGGTGTGTCTTATTCTGAGAGCAGCAGACAGATGAACCAATAAGAGTTGAAAAATCTTTTTAGGACAGAAAAAAAAAAAGATCAACATAATGGAAGGATGAAACATTTTTAATTCTCCCTCAGTAGGAGCGTCATCCAAAAGTGTGTTAGCCCCTGGGAGTTGTGAAGTGTGTGTTGAGCAGCATGTTGCACTCCCTCCGAGTAGAACCATCTGTGCCATTCCTCCCTGATTCCTTTTCCTAAATTCTGTTCTCACTCCCAGAGACGCTGTCTTACACCTGTTGTTTTTTGCTCTGACTTGCACTCTGTAGGATAATGCCACCTTGCAAAATAACAGGTGGAATCGGCTGGAAGGAAGGAAATCCCCAAGAGAAGTACAGGTGTGATGCTGCTCAGGGTGGCAAGTTCAAGTTCAGTGGCTTCTGTATCACTCAGCCTGAGAGGCTTCAGGCCAGGTTAATGGAGCACACAATGGTGCGTTTTCCTCCACCACATGTGAGCTGCGTGCTCAGTCTTCAAAGGCCAGTCAAACCTGCATGGCGCTCTGCTGTGCAGGAACAGGTGGTGGTATGGAAATGAGGCAGCTGCTCTTGAATAAGGCTCTTTAGGAGAGGCATTGGGCAGGAGCCTCAAGTGAGAGCAGGTACAATTACTTCCTTGGGGCTCTGCTCAGAGTTCACACACTCCTCCATACTGACAAGAGAGAGAAATAACTGTGTGGTTAAAAATGAGAGAGAGAAACAGAGACAGACAGACAGACACTATGTGTGGAGGCTGCTCTCTTTTTTCTTGCTCATACCTGCACGGTGATCACTTTCATTACCACTTCTCTGCTCTTGTTTTTATTCTGTGATGTTAACTTCAGATACTCATTTCATTCGACAGATCTTTATTTTCTGTCACCTGTCATAAGCTGGATGCTGTGCTGGAATATGGGCCTGAAGGCGCAAAGCACATTTGTACGAATCAGCATGCCAGAGACCCTGAACTTGGTGCTAGAGCCAGATTCCAGATCTTGTGCTGGCCTGGAGGGAGGGGTACCTCCACTCCTGCATCCAGCCTGAGAGTAGACTAGCCTTTATTTGGTCCTGGTGTTGGTGGTCCCCAGGTTTTTTGGATTTCAACCTTTTTTTGTTTTTGTTTTTTGTTTTTCAAACCATGTTTTCATCTGCTATCTTATTGAGAATGTCAAGAAAATCTGTGTGTCACCATTCTTTCCTAAAAGATGTGACTTTTTAACACTGAGCATCAGAGGGGGCTGTATGAGTTCCTAGGGCTGCTATAAAACAAAGCCATACAGTGGGGAGCTTAAAACAACAGGCGTTTTTGTCTCTAACAGTTCTGGAGGCTGGAAGGCAGAAATCAAGGCTAAGCAGGGCTGTGCTCTCTTGAATGACCTTAGGGGAGCATCCTTCCTTGCCTCTCCCAGCTTCTAGTGCCCAGGCGTAACCAGGCTTGGGGCAGTATCACTCTAGTCTCTACCTCTTTTCCTTGTTTCTATCTTTATAAGGACACCAATCATACTGGATCAAGGGCCCACCCTCCTCCACTATGGTTTCACAACTAATTATGTCTACAAAGACCCTATTTCCAAACAAGGTCACAGTTTGAAGTATTGGGGTTTAGGTTTTTAACATACCTTTTTTGAAAGAGACACAGCTCAACCCATAACAGGACATAAACCCATGTTAAAGAACTGTGCTTTGAATGCAGTACATTTAGCGAAAGATACAGTCTTCCTGTGATCTTTGCTTTTCTCATATTCTAAGGGCTGTCAGACATCGTCAGACTTGGGCTGGGGCCTTTACTCTGTGCCTGGTGACTTGTGTGTCTGCTGTTTTCCCAGGTTACCTGTTAGGGCTTAGGAGCAGGGACCTTGACCATGTCTCCTGAATCTCTCCCTTGGGGCAGCCCCCCGCCACCCCAGCCAGATCTTAGAGAAGTGAACAGCCTGCCCCTCCGGCTCCTGTGATCTGTTTTCTATTGCTAGTAACATAGCACCTCAACCGGAAGGGTTATGAAGAGCTTTATTCTGGCTCACAGCTCTAGTCCAAGTTGAGGAGCCACGTGTAGTGATGGCTTTCTGCTGGCAGAATCCCTAGGTTCAGGGTATCACCTGGTGAGAGCCCAGGGAGCACACAAGAGGCCTAGTGAACTGGCTGTTGTTAGAAGACACACTCCAGATATCCGTTAATTGCATGAATGGATTAATCAGTTCATGAGGGCAGAGCCCTAATCGCCTCTTAAAGGTCCCACCTCTTAATATGTCATTATGGGGATTACATTTCAACCTGGGTTTCAGAGGGGACAAACTGTAGCAAGGTCATTGCTATTTAAATTGATTTCTTGGTTTCCATTAGCTTTTTCAGTCTCCCTAGTTTCTGGTTTTCATCCTTTTTCCTCCCCTGGGCTAGACAGTGCTGGTCTTTGTGAAGTCCCCCCTCCCCCCCAGCACCTACTCTCAGGAGCAGAAACCACTGATGGGCAGCTAGACACCTGCTGTTCACCCAGAGATACAGACAGCTATAGACTCTGTGCTCTGTGCTCGAACCAGAGGGTGTAACTTAACCTCACTGTGACTCCATTTTCACCAGACACATAACAGGCATAGGGTTGTGGCCTGTTCTTGAACTCAGAACAGTTCTTTGTTGGGCATGTGCATTGAGGGTGCTCCTCATGGACCACGTGGGAAACAGGGAACCCAGGATGGCTCAGGCCCTCAGAGACCCTGGGCAGTCTGACCATCATGATGCTGGGGAGAAGACAACCACCTGGGACTGGAGCATCACTCCCCAGAGCTGTGTCCAGGGGTGTCCTCACTGGAAACCAGGAAACAAACCCTTGGGCCCTTCAGCAGAATCTGCATGTGAGCCTGCCCCTCTGTGTTGAAGGGTGGGGTAGAGTGGTGAAGAATGCGGCAGGAAGGAGACTGGGAGGCTTTTGCCCTTTTGGGGGTGCTCAGCCCTTGCTTCCCATCTGGCCTTCTGACCACCTGCTGACAAAGGTGCTTCTAATGGAGCTGGGTGGGGGGCAGCTGAGCCTTTGCCGAGCTCAGGAGCAACTTGGTGGAGGGGCACCATGCTGTGAGTAGGGCCCTGCCTGTGACCTATTTCCCACAAGGACTGAGGTATTCCTTGGGAGCCTGGCATGTCCTCCTCTGGAGCCTACTGGGCTGGGACTGTGGGTCCCTTGGTCGATTTGGTACTGGGGCAGAGGTGTCCGCTCATGAATTAATTTTCAGGGAGCCCAGGGAGGAAAGGCTTCAGCACCTCCACTTTCACACTGCCTTAGCATTCTTCTCAGACGAGTAAGCAATCTTCCTCTTTCCAGGCTGTGTATGTACACACACATCTTTGTATATGGCATGAATTGCGTGTTGTGTGTCTTTTTCTGTGTGGTGTGTGTAGTGTTTGTATATTGTGTGCTTGTGTGCTTGGTGTATACTCGTGTCATATGTGCATTGTGTGCTTGTGTTGTAGGTGTATGTGTGCCATGTGGGTTTGTTTGTGCACACATGTGCTGTGTGTGTGTGGATGGCCTTGAAGGCTGTTGGGGAGAAGCCTGGAATCTTCTTGGCTCAGCCATGAGTCATATGAGGTGGGCTTCCTCTGCAGCAATGACTCATTGTACAGGAAAACATCCCCCAAAGTACCTCTGCCCAACACTGAAAGGAGGCAAGATGAATCTTTGGCCATTGCCGATGAGGCCACTGACCAACCCAGGGAGGTTAGGATGACTGCTAAGGCCTCCTGAGAGTGCAGACTTGGAAGGAATTGATTTATAATCACACATCTGGAAGTGGAAGCCCAGCAAAGCTCCATTCAGGTGAAAGTGCTTATGCATAGCTGCGTGCCTTCCTGCTTTGTCCCTCTTTTTGTGGTCCTTTGGTGATGAGGGGCCACTCAGGGTGGCCCTTCTGGTCACCTAGTTTAAGGGCCAAAGCCCCTCTTGCAGCATTGGCTGGGCTCTCACCTTCCTGAAAGGGTTCCTGTTTGCCTTTTGGGGTCTTTGCTTATGCTGGTCTTCCTCCCCATCTTGTCTGTCCTTGGATTCCTCCCCCTTCTCAACAGCCTAGCCGTACCTGCCTTGGTGTCTGCCCCTACCCTAGTAGTCCTTGCTCTCTGAGTGACCTCATCCATACTCACAGCAGTGATGTTTTTTGAATGACTCTGGGCTGGAAGTGTGTGCCCTCATTTAGTCTTTATTCACCAAGTAGCACTGATTCCATTTAGAGAGGGAAACTGAGTCTGAAAGTGGTTTTGTAATGTACCCAGAACAATCCTGCTAGGCAGGTGGGAGTTTGCAAAATGGAAGTTGGACCAGACTGACCCTCTCCCAAAGCCATGTTATCACCTGTGTTGCTTTCCATCCCACCTCCCTCCCCAAGCACACTGTGAAGATGACATCCAAAGGCCAGGCTTGGTAGCAAACATCTATAATCACAGCTACTTGGGAGGCGCAGATAGGAGGATTGTGGTCCACAGTTGGCCAAGGTGAAACCACAAGACCTTCTGTGAAAAACAAACTTAAAAAAAAAGAAAAAAATGGGATAGGGCTGGTAGAGTGGCTCAAGCAGCAAGAGTGCCTTCCTAGCAAGCATGAGGCCCTGAGTTCAAACCCCAGTGCTACCAAAAAAAAAAAAAACAAAAACAAAAAAACAAAGGGCTGAAGGTGTGGCTCAAGTGGCACAGCACTTGCCTAGCAATCATGAAGCCCTGAGTTCAATCTGCAGTACCACCAAGGAAGGAAAAAACAAAATAGGCATCCAGGAAGTAAGATGGCCCCACAAGCGTTCAGATTCCTTCTCCTCCTCCCCCGACCCTTCCTGTTCCTCTGTCCCGAATCCCTGACTGTTCTTTTGCCCAGAATGGAAGCACAGTGGAGCATCTTTGCACCAGTGACTAGTTCTAGGCCTGATGGGAACACAGACATTTCCTGGGGAGGAAGGAGTGCAGAACTTTGCAGTGTCCTTTCTTCATGCCCCAGTTGGGGAGTTATCTCGGGCATTGCCTGCCCACTGGTGTTTTAGGAAGCTCAGGAGGAACGAGGTTGGTGCTGAAAGTCACATCACAGCATGTGTTCATGAGAGTGAAGGATGGGAGTCTGAACATAGGTCAGATGCAGGGCATTGTGAGCAGCTGTCTTTATGTAGTAATGTTGGCTGGGTTGTTTTCTTTCTCAAAACCTGAGATTATGCAGATCATGGTGCCAGTTAGGCATGTGTCCTTAATCGTTCTGTTGCAACCATGCCTGCCATGTTTGCAGCAAGCTGCTCTTTTGCCCCGCTTTATTAGTGGAGGGTAACACATTTGCTTGCAGTCAATACTTGGAAACAGGCAGCGTGTTTTTAACCAGTGCTTTTTTTCCTTTAGAGACTAAAGCTTAGAATTACAGTTCACAGCATAGATACCAGGCTGTGTCATTCCTGTGGTCCAGGAACTGTGGGTCTCATTGTCAAACCCTCTTCTTCCCCTGCAGAATTACTAATGCATGTGTGATCTGAGCATGATCTAGCCAGCATGGAAAGCTACCCTGTAAAGGAGCAGGCTGGTGAGCAATGGAAAGGGCTTGCAGCAGCGCTCAGACCAGCCCTGCCAGGCCAGGGTAGGGTTGCTCAGATAAAGGCCGGCATCTGATAACCACTGTGGCTGTCCCCTGAGGGTGCTCAGGACAGTACTTTTTGTTCTTTAAACTCCTATGCACTCCAGTGTCATTGGAGGCTTGCAGGACACTTGGAATAACTGGAGGAGGAGTGGTTTTTTTTTAAATGTGTCATTTGTTTTTATGCAGGAAGTGTACATTGTGGAGACTGTGTTGTGTGTGTTGACTGAGTGGCATGTTTAAGAACACAGTGGCACACGGCCAGAACCGAGAAAAAGCTCAAGTTGAGTCTTGTGTTGTTAAGTCCAAGACTGACAGGTGCAGTCAGCTGGGTCCTTTGGGGTACTGGTTGTTTTATTTTGTTCTGTCCTTTCCCAATAGCTTCCTGCTCCTTAGCAATTGGGCAGGTAAAAATAGAGGGCTTTCATGAAGATCTTAGCTAAATCCCAGGGCACATTTGCTTCTGTTCCTAACATGAGGGATAGGTAAGGTTGCACTCTAAAAGTGCAAATTCCCAGAGACCCTTAGGAGGCACCAGGTCTGGGCCCTGGGGCCCATTCCAGGTCCCTCCTTGGAGGCTAGTCAGCAGGCTGTGTGCCCTGCTGCCCGTCCAGTGTTTGGGGAGCAGCGCCAGCCATGCTGGGTGAGAGCAGAGGGCACGGGAGTCCACTGTCCGCCCTTCATTGCTGGTGTCGGGTCGCAGGCACCAGCTCCTGTTACCAGCCCAGGACGTTGGGTTTCATTGAAGAACACCTTTCCCTTTCTGTTTCCTTGTGCTGCAGACAATATACATGGATGATGGAGTGTCGTCTTTTGTCCAGATCAGAGGCTCGGTTCCACTCTTTTGGGAGCAGCCAGGGCTTCAGGTAGGTAATTTAAATAGAGAACAGCCTATTGTGTCATTATTCCCTTTTAACAGCTTTGGTTGGTTTTTTAAAATGTGTTTCTTTCATGATGTTGTTTTTTGTCTTTATCCTCAGCCCAGTTGTATTGATCCAAGCTGTTAAACTACACGTGTGTGGTGGATGGGGAGATGGCTCAGTGATAGAGCATTTTCCTTAGTACACGTGTGTGTGTGTGTTGTGTGGTGTGTGTGTGGTGTGTGTTTGTGTATAGAACATGCATGCTGGCTGCATCTTGGGACCAGTAAGTGTGTGCTGTGCTCACTGTTGACCCAGTGCAGTGTGGATGTCTGCTGAGGAAGTGAACCACAGAGCTCTTGGGTGGGATTTCCCCAAGTAAGACCCTAAGTCAGTGTATCAAGAATGAGTGTGTCCCTCACAGAGAGCTTCAGAAGGGGCTGTGGGGCCCTTTGTGGCCACGTCTTGGATCTGGCACTTGGAGCCACATGAGGATTGCACAGAGCTCTCCCGTGGTTTCTGAAAATAACCCTGTACCATGCAATGCATGGTTGTGGTCAGTGCCAGAAGGATTTGGCTTCTGTGTCCTGGAAAGCGTTCGGGGCAGAGGACACAGCCCAAAACATGTGTATTATCAATGAAAAGATGCACTGCCTCCTCAATGGGTTCTAACAAGGTGGTCTGGGGGCAGATCTTCTGATCTCCTCTTCTGTCCTCAGGGAACATGGGGGTGTTCAGAAAACCTCTCTTCTGGGACCTTTGTCTCCGGCTTTTCTTACCAAGGGCTCTTGTGTGACTGTTGGGTTATCAGCCAGTGACTGAAGAGACCCAGGGCATCATGTGCCAGATTCTTAGGGGTATTTGACAACATGGGGCTCAGAGTTCCAAGTCTTGGGTTCTGCTTCTTACCTCAGACCTGGACTTGACCCATGTCACCCGTCGATGAGCCTCTTGTCCTCTAGGCTGCCAGCATGCTGCGTTAACAGCACTGGCAGTGCCATGTCAGCCCATAGAGTGAGATGGATGGATTGAGTGTCTCATTTGTACTCTGAGTTCTCTAAGTGGAAAAGGCTTCACTGACATTCAGTGTTTCCCTCAGAAAGGAATAATTCAGACATATGAGCATGGTAAGTGCCATTGAGAGGTAGCACACACCTTGAGTTTGATGCTAACATAGAACACTATCTTGGAGCACTTCCTAAACAAGGTTTTGGACCCAACTTTGAGATGTAACTTCTATACCATAAACTCCACCCCTATGAAGATCAACTCAGTGGTTTTCAGTGCATTTATAGAGTTGTATAACAAGCATCTTGATCTAATTTTGGAACATTCTTTTTTCTTGTGCTAGGGATCAAACCCAAGGCCTCACATATGCTAGGCAAATGCTCTACTGCTGAGCCATGTCCCTAGTCCCTAATTTTAGAACCTTCTCATCACTGCTGAAAAATTCTGTGCCATTAGCAATACCCCTCCCCACTTGGGACTCAGACCTAAGCAACACTTAGTCTATTTCCTGCCTCCAGAGATTTCCTATTCCAGTCATTCATAAAGGGCTTTTGAAATTTGATTTTCTTTAAATTTGGGGGTTTCTTTCTGTAATGTCTTTAGCTCTGTATTTATGAGGATGAAAAACATAAATTAGGTAGACATGGTGGTGCATGTCTATAATCCCAGTACTTTGGAGGCCGAGGCCAGGAGGATCCCAAGTTCCAGGGCAGCCTGAGCTACATAGTGAAGCCTTGTCTCAAAAAAACAAAACAAGCGGGCTGGGGTGTGGCTCAAGTGGAAGAACACCTGTCTAGCAAGGGTGAAGCCCTGAGTTCAAACCCCAGTACTGAGAAAAAGAAAAAAACCCTTAGAAAATAAACTAAGCATAGGTCAAATGAGTATAGTATAAGAAGGAATCAGGGAGCTCTGTTACTTTTCATGCAAAATTTGTAAGAAATCTCCAAATTAGTTTTGACAGAGTTTTAGAATTTGAGAAGGAATGTTGTGAAATTTGCTCATTTCACCCTCCCACCCAACTTAAGGATCCTCTTTCTAGTACCTCAGAGAAGCCAGGCTCCAGGCCATACCTGGGGACAGCTCTGATTATCCACAAGTTCCAGCTTGTACTGGGCCCTCTCTGTCTCGACACAGTGTTCATGTATGCACAGAAAGGTGACTTCTCTGTGTGGGTCTCTTGCAGCCCTGGAGGTGGAGCCTCATGGTCCTCTGTCTCTCTCTTGTCTTCTCTGAGACCTTTCAACTCCTCTGGCCATCTTCTGTCCAGAAGGACTCCAGTGTTCTGGCCTCCTCCCTCTAAAGAACAAGCTCACACTTGTTTGTTATTCCCCCTCAGAATTTACCAAAAGGTCTCCAGCTTTAGGGCTGGGAATGTGGCTCAGTGGCAGAGCACTTGTCTAGCATGCTCAAAGCCCGGGTTTGGTCCCCAGCACTGCCAAACACAAAGGTCTACAGCTTAACCTTCATGGTCCTCCAGGTGCAGCCTGGCTCTGCCATGGGGTGACTGTGCCTCAGTCGGACATGAGCCAGCATCGGGGGGATGTGACAGCTGCATCAGCCTTTTAACTCCCTAACTTCTGTGCTTCCCCAAAGCCTCTGTGATGTCTTCAAATGCAGTTTCAAAGGCTTTAGCTCTCTGTTATACTAGGGACCTGCTAACTTTTGGGCTTCATACCTGTGCTTATTCTTTAAGGACTGTCTGTTATTGAAGAAAGATTAAGTCATTTTCAAAGGAGAGGAAGGGTGTCTACAGTCACCCAGCCTGAGCTAAGTGTCAGTTTGGGTTGTCTCCATTTTGAGCTTCCCTGTCCTTCTTCACTTATGTAGCATGAAGAGTGCAGAGGTTTGTGGGCAAATGGCTTGCATTCTAAGTTGCACTGTTGTACCTACTTGGGGACTGCCCCTGGGAACAAGAGCCCTGCCAGGGATGGAGGAAGGGAGGAGGAATAGGCAAAGAAGGCCACGAGTAATGAGCTGTCTGTACATGGTCGTGGGCATGCTGCCTTCAACACAAACTCCTGAATCCTGAGTTTCTGTCTGGCATTGATGGACCTTTAACAATTTCATCTTTACCCTGTAAATAGGTTGTGTGGTTTATAAATAGCCACAGTGAAATTTGCCCTTATAACTCAGGGCTCCACTGGTATAACTCATTCTAGGGTGTCTTTATCATCTTGTCAGCCTGGGGAAGACTCTGCTCTCTTTGCCACTGTAAGACCTTCCTCCCTGTGGCATGCATAGACAGACACACATCTAGTACATAAGTCTGACCTGTGACCCTGTGACCTGACAGGACCAGCCAGAGAAGGATGCACTGTGGATTAGGGCCTCTTGCTTGCATTCGTTGCTTCTCAGTCAAATACAGTTTCTTGAATTCTTAGACGCGTGGCACTGCATGTGTTCATGTGTGTGTTCCTTTCTGTGTTCACTAAGGATGTGAAATGTGGTAATAGCACTTCCCAGGATAAGTGGCTAAAGGGGAGAAGTCCTCCAGATGGAAAGGGACTGCAGCAGTGCATGCGTGGGCTGGTGAGCTCTCAGGCAGCAGCTTCGTGTTTGTCTTGGGCTCTGACAGCCACCATAGAAGGAACCGAGATTGCAAGATGACTTATCACAGGGATCCAGAGCACAGGCCTTGCAGCTGTACAGACTAGGGTTCAAACTCAGGTTCTGGCATCCCATTTATGACCTTATTATTTTGAGAAGTTCTTATCCTTGCTAAGCCTTAGTTTACTCTTCTGTAAAGTGGGGTTAACAATACCTACCTTGTAGGACTCAAGTGGTAGAGCACCTGCCTAGCAAGCTCAAGGCCCTGAGTTCAAGCCCCAGTATTGCTAAGAAATAAAGAATTTAGCACAGTCTCTGGAACCCAAAATACTCAATGGTAGCTGTGATTATTAATAATAATGGAGATAAACGATAATATTGGGGACAAACTCAAGTTGCATTGGGAGAAGCATGCTGTCTACATGCCAAGGGCTGAGTAGAGTCCTCATGAAGACTCAGTGTAGTGACACTGCACCAGTTTCCCTTGGATGGACGGGGAATCAGCAATGCCACGCTGAGCTGTGAGTGCTCATGGAGTGTCTGCTGGGTGTGGGGGTCACCTGGGATCAGACGCAACCCCTGCCTTCAAGGAGCAGGGGTCAGGAACATTGACAGTGGTGTGTGATAGAGCTTTGACAAGAAAGCTGAGATCAAGTGGCAGCTCTTGGAAGTAGCAGCTGGCCAGGTCAGGCCCAGAGTTGTCCTTTAGGTTTCTTGTCTGGGAACACTTGGGGGAAACCACTCAGGGAAGAGATGAAACCCCAGCAGAGGGAACAGCAGGTGTAGTCGTAGCCCCTGAGGTCATGGCATATCCAGGGAATGGCTCAGTGCCTGGGGCCATAGGCACGGGCCACGGGAGAGGTGGGCAGTTCCAGGGCACAACAGCTGTGTTCGAAGGAGTTGGAATTCCACACCATGAGGCACCAACGCAGTGGTGGCTAATGCTTCCACATGTTAGAATCACCTAGGAATTTAACTGTCCTGATGCCCAGGCAGGCTATAGCCATTAAATCAGTGTCTGGTGGAGAAGCCAGCAGCAGTACTTCTGAAGATCTCTAGGTGGCTCCACTGTGCAGGAGGATGTGGGGACCACTCTAGTGTGCAGAGAAGAGTTTTCTTGGGATGTGCCTTGATCTGTAGCATCTGTCAGTTTCTGTAAACAGTTCCAGCCCGCCAGGGTGTCCCTGAGCTGGAACTAGAATGAACCTGCTCCACAGTCAGCCGGTGGGTCTCATGTGCTCTCATGAACACCACACCACTGACTGCACTGATGGCTTTGGGGTGGGGACGTGACTAGGCCTCAGGAGTGCTCCTGTGAGGCTGGGGGACTGGAGGCAAAGAGTCCCCATGGGAGCTGTTGCAGGTGAGCTGAGCTGGCCGGCAGCCTTCCCGTAGGAGCAGTGGGTGCTAGGAGTGCTGGAGGTACTCTGTGGGATGGCAGGGCCTCTCATTTGGCCATGGGGCCTCTGCTGGGACCCAGTGCCAGGTATACTTGAGATGTGGATGATTAGTGCAGTGTGTAGGCTGTAGGTTGAACTAATGACCCTAGGGACCAGATGAGTTATTGGCCCTTTAGTCAGAGCAGGAAGGCTGGGGTGAAAGAGGAGGAGGGGAAGCTAAAAAAAGTAGCACACTCAGCTCCAGGGGCCCCAGGCCAATGAAGTTTCATTCTGCCCTGGCTGCCACTCCTTAAGTCTTCTGACACATGGGACCTTAGGAGTGACCCTAGAGGAGGGCCAAGCTAGTTGGCACTGGAGTTGGTCAGAGGAGGAGGGACTGGCAAGGTTGGGGCACGAGAGGCAGGATACAGGACTTGAGGAATCCTGCTAATGGGATGCATGGGTGATGGAGAAACTGCTCCAACCCCTCCATTTCCACCTGACGCTCCCCTGTGCTTTAGGAAATGGGGGGACCCAGTCTGAGGCCATGATGCCAAGAGGCCACCGAGGCCCCTGTGGTTTGCCCTGTGGATGTGACCCAGAGCTGCTCTCCCTGTTGTGCCCTCCTCTGCCCCTTCACAGGCCTCTGCAACCTGAGCAAAGGGAAAGGAGAAGATAGGAAGTGAGTCAAGACCAGCCTGCCGGAACTGCCACAGGTGTGCATCGAAAGCACGGGCAGGGCAGATGACATTGCATTCCTGGCCTCTCCCTCGGAAATTTGGTTCAGCAAGTCTGAGCTGGACTCAAGCCCTGGCCTTTCTATCAGGGGCCCAGGTCATTCGTGCAGGGTGTGCCTTGACTTCTTTGTGCCCCCAGCTGGGTTTTGTCAGCAGTGATGTTACACTAGCCACGATGGTAGATGTGACCATGGTGACAACTGTTGTGCACATTCTGTCCCCATGGAAAGGTCATCTAAGCCCAGGGTAAGAAGCATGCTCTACCTTCCGGTCTGGGTCATGCCTTTTCTGGCCCGTAGCTGCTGCTTCCCGGCATCCTGTCTGCTTCCCACCTTCTGAGTTCCTGCCAATGTAGTGGAAGGGCACAGATAGTGAGGTGCCTCACCTCACCCCGTGATGCTGCTGTTCTCAATGCAAAAGGCACAGTCTTCCCCAAGCTTATTTGCACTTGCCATGCAGACTTGTTAGGAACTTTTCAGTGTTTCTGGGAATCATCCAGGGACTCTGTCTTCACCTCATTTCTGATGCCCTGTTGACTCCCACTCACTTACTCAGCAAGGGGCTGAGTTCAAGAGCCTGGGAATAGCACTGCCAGGTGTAGTCAGCTGGGCCTTGCAGGCTCTATCTGCCTAAAAGAAGAGCCTTTTATAATTTTTTAATTTTATTTTATAATTTTGCATTTACTTACATGTGTACACATTTTTTGGATCACCCCTCCCTTCAACCCAAACCGGTTCATCTCTATCAGACCTCTTCACTACTTCCTAGTTCTCTTCCCATAGTGGCCTCTGCCAGTTTAAGATTACTGTATTCGTTCCTATACAGTGAGCACATCAACTACATTCAGGTTTTTGGTTTCCTTCCCTTTTCCTATCCTTCCTGTGCATAGTCTCCCCTTAGTGTGTGACCCCATGTCCAGTAATATTACTGCATTTATTTTGGGTCTATAAGCTGCACATGAGGGAGAAAATGTGATTTTTGGCCTTCTGAGCCTAATTAACTTTGCTTAAGATGGTGTTCTCTAGTTCCATCCATTTACTTGGAAATGACAAAATTTCATTCTTCTTTGTGGCTGAATAAAATTCTGCTGGTGGGAATGTAAGCTGGTACAACCACTATGCAAAACAACATGGAGGCTTCTTAAAAAACTCAACATAAATCTGCCATATGATCCAGCAATATCACTCCTAGGGATCTACCCAAAGGAATGCGACTCAGGTTATTCCAAAGGCACCTGCACACCCATGTTTATTGCAACACTATTTACAATAGCCAAGCTATGGAAACAGCCAAGATGCCCCACTATCAACGAATGGATTAAGAAGAGCCTTTTGACTGTGATGCAGGAACACAGGCAGACCTATCCTATGCCAGAGCTCCTCATGACTAAAGACTGGTTTCTGAACTTAGACAGTTGACTTTGGTGGTCTTCTTCTTCTTCTTTCTTCCTTCCTTCTTCCTCCTTCCTCCTTCCTCCTTTCTTTCCTTCTCCTTCCTCCTCCTTTTCTTCCTTCTTCCATACTGGGGGTTGAACTTAGGGTCTGTTACTTGCTAGACAGGTTTGCTACTCCTTGAGCCACACCTCCAGCCCTTTTTCTCTGGTTATTTTGGAAATAGGGTTCTCAGCTTATGCCCAGGTTAGCCTAGACTGCAGTCTTCCTATTTGTGCTTCTCTGTGTAGCTGGGATGACAGTAGTATGCCTCACCCAGCCATTGGTTGAGATGGGTCCCTGAACTTTTTGCCTGGGCTGGCCTACTACCACAGTCCTCCCCATCTCCACCTCCTGAGTAGCTAGGTATAAACCACCTTGCCTGACCTAGTTCTTTGTATGCTCCCACAAGGACTACTGCCTGTCCTTGACTGGGAGATTTCTCATGCTGACTGACAAGTGACACGGAACAAGCAACTCCTCCCTCAGACCCCAGCCCTTGGTGATCTCAGAGTGCAGCTAAGGGAAGCACAGATTGCTCACCAGTGACCACCTCTCTGTGAGCCCAAAAGATGAGCCAACCAAGATGAGTGGTTTTCTAAGTACTGGATGCCCATGGGCGTTAAATTTCTGACATTTCCTCAACCAGGCATTGGTGGCCACTGGGGAAAGGAAAGCAAGGGAAATCCAAGCAGCAAAATGAAGACATCTGGCCAGGTCTTTCTTGGGGAGTTCCATTAGTTCAGAGCCAAGAGGCCTCATTTTATGGACTTGTTTCCCTTGTGACCACAATCTCATAGGACCAATAGGGATTTGCATTTGGTGGATCATTTGTATAGGTACCTTTCTCCCACAATTTCTAAATCTCTTGCTGAGAAACCCATTTGTTAGGTGCTTTCATGTAGCCTGCAGTGTTTTGAGCTGTAAGAGTAATTAATGCACAGTATACGCTCAGTAATGGCTGTAGCTGGTCATGTGGGCCAGTCTTAAGACACCACTCCTGCTGCTTTCCAAAAGAAGCTAAATACTTGGTACATTTTCCAAAACTTCAATTTCAGACCTACAGAAAAGTTGTAATAACAAAAGAGAGAGCTTCCCTACTTTCTTTATCCAGAGTCTCTAACTTGTCAACTGTGGTCACCACATGTGTGTTATTTATTTTCTCAGCCATTTGAGAGCAGGTTACTTGCATCGTGTCTTTTTGCCTATTAATATTTCAGGATGTTTTTCCCAGAACAGTTCTACTGTCTTGCAGCACCACAGCAAAGATACACATTTGGGAAATTTGACATTGACAGAATACCGTAATCAGATTGGTAGTCATTTTCCAAATTGATCAGTTGTCTCCGAAGCACCGTTGGTAGCACCTTTTCCCCTGGGTCACACTCTGCGTGTAGTTGTCACATCTCTTGTCTTAACCTGGATTGCTTTCTCAGCCTTTCTCTTTCATAGCAGTGACAGTTTTCAATATGCAAAGATACACAATGCCTTCTTTATCTTTACTAGGACAGTGTCTTGCTGTGGGTTTTCCTGGTGTTTTGGGGTATGGATCCTTGGCCAGAATGCTATTTTGTGACACTGTGTCCATCTGCCCCTCATGGTGATGTTAATTTTGATCACCAGTCAAGGTGCTCTTCAGTTTTACTACTTGCAATTATTGTTTTCTGTTCCAACTAATTTAACAGTCTCTGCTAGACTCTTAGAAGTCATGAAAATACCTTGCTGCTCACCAAACTGGATACTTTTCATCATTGGATGACTCTTGCTATTCTTTACAATTATGGTTATAAAATGATGAATTTCCACTCCTCCTCCACGTTTATCAGTTGAAGTTCTATAAGGAAGAGGCCTCCATTCGTCCCTCTTTTCCCCATTTCCCACTCACACCCACCCATCTGTCCATCTAGCAGTCATCCATCGAGTCATCCGCCCATCTGTCCATCCATCCCTTCCAGCAGTCATCCATTGAGTCATCCACCCATCTGTCCAACTATCATTAATGAGGATGTGTAGATTCTGATTTTATTCATTGGGTTTTAAGCTACTACTGTCCTATAGTTCTATGGTCAGATTGCCCCAGATTTGATCAGGGAGGCTCAGGTAATGATTTGTATTTCAGAATTTTTTAGAGTAAATTGAATTTTAAATAGGTAGTTCTAAACATTAAGACAAATCAGATAAGTAGGATAATTCAGATTTTAGGCTTAATAAGGAGGCTGGAAAGCAGTTTCCCTGTCCCCACGTGGCTGCTTTGGATAGTTTAAGGACCTGACATCTCCTGTGGTCTCACTCTGGAATTTCTGGCTGTGGAAAGATTCTATCCAGCAGGGCCCATGCTGCAGTCAGGATCCTGCAGCAGCAGAGACAGACTGGAGGCTTCTGGGCCTGGCTTGGGAGTACTGTTAGCCCAGTCTAGTGAGCCTGACCTGCATGAGCAGAGAATGGATCACAGAGGTGGATGAATGGCTGTCTTTTGTGGCCCAGCTGGCAGGGAAAACCCTCAGTCCCTCCCTGGCAGAGCAGTACTATCACTCTATTCTCTCTCTTTACCGTAGGTTGGCTCCCATCATCTGAGACTTCACAGAGGCCTGGAGGCCAATGCCCCTGCTTTTGACAGGTAAGAACTGTTGGATCCTACCTGAGGCTTATCGTCCTCCATTCAGACAGTGGCCCCAATCCTGAATCCAAATCTGCCTTTTACTTTGGTTCTTTATGCAAGAAAAGAGTCATCAAGTGGGATTTTCACTTACTGTCAGGGTTCCCTGAAGACTCATCAGTCAGTGTTCAAGTAGTGCTTTGTGATTCGTGTATCAGTTCCTTCTTACAACTAAGTATCATGCATTTGTCCTGGTTAATACGGGATGATCTAATTTATAGGGTGATAGTAGCTATTTGTTTTTGTTTCACAAAGTACCAAAAGATGTGAAGTGAAAGAATACCCTAACTCCCAAACTTCACGTTTAAAGACTTTGCTAGTTTTAAGTATAATCCTGGACCAGAATTTTGACACATATATTTCACTTTTTAAAACACACTGGATCATAACACACTATTTTGCACCTTGCTTAAGAAAAGCTATTGCCAGCTAAACTAGTTGTAATCTATATCTGAAATAGCTAATTGCTTGTTAAGTGATTTGCTTTTACATCTAAATATGATTTAAGAAATCATCTTAGTAACTATAATGAAAATTCTCAAAAGTAATTTCATGTGTTTAATCATTCCACCTGGGGCTTCATTGAGCTGTTAAATGTGTTTGCATACTTTCTGTGGAATGCAGCACTAGTTACATGAGCACAGCTGTGGCCCTAATTAGCATGTTACAAACAATGGGCTTTTGCTGTAAAGAGAGCTATAATCTAGTGATGAAAACACATTGCCTGTTTCCAGAGTGTGATTAGTGTGCTCTGAGGACCATACACATGGACTTCTTTTGATTGACACTGATCTAAAAATGTTCTCAGAGTAGTAGACATGTAACTGACCTGAAACATGAGGAGAGAGTCATGCTGGGAGCATTTCAGAACCCATGCGTGGGAACTGAGCACATATACGTACTTACACTTGAATGCGGCACAGCCTAGTAAGGCCAGTGGGTGTGATGCATGTACCCGAGAGTGAGACCTCTGCTCACCACACCCCACACACCGCCTTGCCCCTTGGAAAGCTTCCCTAAATCTAGGAGTAAACTTAGAGCTCTTCTGCAAAACCCAGAACAACTTGCTGAAACTATTAAGTAAGTCTGTTTATAGATTTCTATTGTTTATAATTTGGCCAAGCGTTGTCTTTATTTATTTATTTATTTATTTTTGGTACTTGGGCTTGAACTCAGGGCCTTGCACTCACCACGCAAGCACTCTGCCATTTAACCCACACCCCAGTCTTTTTTGCTTTAGTGATTTTTCAGATAGGGTCTCAGGCTTTTGCCTCAGCTGGCCTTGGACCTCAATCCTCCTACCCTCTCACCTGTACCTTCTTAGTAGCTAAAAATGCTAGGCTTGGTCTTTGAAATAGGATTTCGCTGACTTTTTGCCCAGGCTGGCCTCAAACTGCAGTCTTCCTATAAGCAGCTGGGATTACAGACATGTGCCACTGTATCACAATAAAACTTCTTTAATGCTTTTTAACCATGAAATTTGGAAGGAACTTGGAAATTCCCTTGGAAGGAACTGCCCATTTTCATATTAATTGCTGACCTTGGTGCTCTCCTTTGAGAGTAGTACTTGAAAGTAAGGTGACATGCTGTGAGATCAGGGCTGCTATGACCCCTGAAGGGCAGCGAGGCGTCCCTGGTCTGGTATACCAGATCCTTCCCTCTGGGTCAGTGTTATGCAGGCAAGAGTTTTCCAGCTCTTTGATGGATTTGGTCGAGCAAATCTTTCTTTTCCCATCCTACAAAAAGCCTTCACTTGGGTTGGTTTCTTACCAGAGTGCTGTTTCCCCATCAGTGCTACCTTGGCTCGCTGTGTGTCTGGGCTGTCTGTTCTTGGATCTGTGTGCTCTGTCTGAGAAGGGGGTGTTTGGAGCAGGCCTTTGGCTGTGATTGCTTGAGTTCGGTGACCGGTTTCCATGGGTGCACTCACCTTTCATGAGGGCAGTGCCATGCCTGCAACTTAGTGTGGGCATAGGATTGGTCCCTCCCCAAAGTTGAGAGGAGGGAAGCTTCCAATGGAAATCTGACTGCTCTGAGACATGCCTCCCACCAGCAGGGAGAGGGAAGAGAAAGCACAGATGTCCAGAGCAACCAAGGCCAGGAGTACGTCTTCACATCACTGGCTTCAATGGATGCCAGATTCTTCCTATGCTCTGAGACAGTGAAAAGAATCTTTGATCAACAGCAAGGATATTATATTATTTTAGATTAAAGGCAAGGAAGGAAAAACCAGCTTCCATGTGCTGAGCACTGTCCTTGTCACTTTCATTCATCTTTTTTTTAGTCCTTGAAACTCTTCTTTGCCCAGAGAGGATGAGCTGAATCATGCAGCTGAAGGAACTGGATGATTTGGTTCCGGGGTCAGTGTTGGTGACGGGAGAGAGGATAGGAATGATGAGTAACAGTCTTTCTCGTTCAACCCTGGAATTTAGAGACAGTGAGAAGTAGGGCAGATGGAGATCAGACATTAGCCTTATTTCTGAGATGCTGCATTGTAGAACATGGCTTGGGTGTATGCCTACAATGGAACTTAAGTCACCCCGTGACTAGCAGAGCTGGTGACTTGGCTTTTCTCACTAGAAACACCAGGACACACCTTCTCTGGGCAGATCCCAAAGAGCTGATCTTTGCACATTATTTAGCCCCATCCCTGGGCTTCCAGGAACATTGCTCTAGCAGAGTCCTCCTAGAGACAGGAGACCGTGAGGAGGCTCGCCCTTAACTAAGGTCAGCAACCAAAATAAGTCCATAACATCCACTTCAGAATCCATTTCCTCTCTACTCCAGTGCTATCTGTCCAAGTTAGTAAGAGAATGGCTTTTTTTTTCCTCTTCTTGGACTAAAAGTAGTTCTTTTATGATTAAAAAAAAATCTGTTTATAAAAGAAATATGTCATTGCAGAAATTTGTAAAGGTGAAAAATGTTTAAAGAAAATAAACATTTATATAATCATACAGTGTTCCATCCTTTTATCATCAGTGTATTTTCTTACAGTCTTCTTTTCTATATTTACACATGAATTTAGAAAGTTGCACTACTAAGTTACAGTTTTACATCTGCTTTTCGTGTTGTATCTTTCCTTGTTTTTTAAAGCACTACATTTAAACATTTCTAACATTAAAATTATAAATTTACTTTTAACAAGCTGGAGATAAAAGGATAAATATTGGCCTCTCTCCCAAATATTTTAAAATAGCCTCTGATACAGGAATATTTTGGGTCCAGCATGATGAAATGCAGCACAGTTGGACTCTGCGGTTGAGGCTTACCCACCAGTGTTTATAGATTGAGGAGGATGAGCCCCAAGGGAAAAGAGGGACTAACTGTAGCTATCTGCATGTTGTCCTGACAAGACTGCTCCTGAAAGGTCAGGGGCTGTGTGAAATTTGATGGTGGCACTTTATAGAAAGTACCAGTCTTTGTGTAGAGGTCTGACATGCTGTGCATTACTCCTGGCCCCAGCTATTCATGCAAACAGCACAGAAGGTCTAACTGCTGTCTGTGGGATTCTGCTGAGCAGTGATTGTGGAGGCAAGGAAATGATGCCCTCCCCCATACACGCCCACTCTGGGCCAAGGGCACAGCCAGTTGTGGACCACTGATACTGAGAAAGTGCCACCCCTCCTGCACCTCCTCCCTTGAGGGGCTGCAGGGGCCAGTCTGGCTGATTCCATGGTGTCACCTCTGCCCTGGTGCCGTTGCAGGCACATGGTGCTTCTGAAGGAGCAGTACGGGCAGCAGGTGGTTGTGAACCTGCTGGGAAGCCGAGGCGGAGAGGAGGTGCTCAACAGGGCCTTCAAGGTAATGCTGCCCCTTCTCCACAGTTGGGTGACGGGGTAGGGACGCATGGGGTGCTGATCAGGTAGCCGAGCCCTGAGGCTCAGGCAGTACCTGTGGGCACTGAGGACGGTAGGTGACCCTGCTTAGGTTTTCAGAGGTTCCCCTCCCCCGCTTCTGATGTGTTGAGGGATGATGTGTTTGAGCTGAGGGATGGGAGAATTTGCTTAAAGTCAAAGCAAAGCTGACTTCCCAAGTGTCCCATGGGTATGAAGTTTTCCTGCTCTACTCTCACTTTTTTTTGGCAGTACCAGGGTTTGAGCTGAGGGCCTCATGCTTGCTACACATGTGCTCCACCTCTTGAATCATGCCCCCATCCTTCTAAAGTAGTTGCTGTAGTCCAGAAAGGGAGAAGGGGAAGCCCAGCAGCTGGCCTGGCTGCTCTGAGGGCCTTCTCGCCACAACTGCAAGGCATTTATGCCTCAGTTGCTCTTCAGAGCCCTGCTTTTCAAAACAGGACCTGTGTGGCCCCTCCCGGTGCCTGGGTGGCCTTCAGGTCTTTCATGGGACCATGTGCCAGCTCCTAGCAGATTCCTCCCACCTCCTGTGTGCCCATTTCAGGGGAGGTAGGTCCTCAACAGGGTGAGAAAGTGGTGTCTCTCCCTGGTTATTGTGCCCGGGCCTTCCCAAGAGCTCACAGTCTGCCACAGAAGACTCCAGAGTGAGCTGGGGGGATTCCTCATTCCTTGCCCATGCTTCCATACCCCCTGGCCTCAGCCTTTCATGCTGAGACCCTGTGGTTGTCTGAAGCTCAAGGAAGGACATCCCTAATGGAGAGAGCCTAAGGCCACCTCAGCAGGGGTTGAGGGCTCCCCCCTCTCCCCCTGTGGAGGTGGCCTCCACTGCTACCTTACCCCTGACCTTTGGCTGGAAGAAGCCAAACCCAGCTGGAGTACTTCTTTCACCCTGCTTGGAGAAGTCACATGCTTAAAGCAGGGACTTTCTGGTTCCCAGTTTTATTTGGCCAGACCTGCTTTTTCCTGTTTGGGGTGTTGCTATGAGCAACCAGCTCAGGAAATAATCTCTCTTCCTACCCATCTTGGCAGCGATGCTGACTTGCTTATTTTAAGGAGAAGGAATGGGAAAGCAAAAAAAAAAAAAAAAAAAAAAAAACCTTTTTCCCTTTTCTGCCTTGGGTTGTGAGGAAAGGACATCCTCAGTCCCTCCCCAGCAGCTGGTGGCAGTTCTCATGCCACCAAACTGAAAGGCCTTTTCTCTACCTAGTGCACAGGAGATAGCCCTGGCAGGGAGAGCAGGCAGAGGAAGAAGCGGCACTCCAGCTGGATATCTGGGGCATAGCCCCAACTAGGGAGTTCCTCAACCAACTGAAACTGGTGCTTGGCAGCTTGCCTGGACCTTGAAGGTCATCAGTCCACAGCTGGATAAGGCGCTGACTATAGAGTGTAACTCTTTAAGCCACTGAGCACGCTGTAGTTCCACAGGCTTCTTTTCCCCAGAAAGACTCTTAAAGATGGCAGTGTGTGTTGATTTACATTCTGGCCACCCAGGGTAACTTGGAGTCCTTCTGGTCCTTCAGACCTCAGAACCTTTGGCTGAGCAGATGCTGGCCTGATCTTATCTGAAGCCATGGTGCAGGTGCGATGAGGCTGGAGCTGGGAGGCCTGGGGTGATGGCAGCCAGTCTGTCTTTGACCCTGGGGTGCCTTGGTGGGAAGGCTGAGGAGATGCTGGGCCAGAGAAGCCTCAGGTGGAAGGGAAGACTCACCTCTGTGAGGAGTGTCCCGAGTCATCGGTAGTTCCAGGGATATGCTTCTCCCTCTGTCCCCACCTTCACCCTGGCTTCTGGATCACTTCTCCTGATGTGTCCTGGCTCCCATCCTGAGGTTTCACCATGCTACATGTCCCACTGGTCCCCAGTCTGGAGACTCAGCTGTTGCAGAGCCCACCTCCTTGGGGCTGGTGCCTGTCAGGATGGGGCTGGTTACCAGGGCAACAGGAGCTGGATTGTGAGCTCTGTAGCCTGCCTGCTATGTGCTGCTGTCCTTGAGGACTGGAGCGCTTGGGACACCTGAAGAACAGGGCAGCCCTTCCCTTGCCTGTGCCCTCCAAGAGCCCTGCAGGAGTGGGATGTCCCCAGGGAGTCACCCCTGCTCTGGGCTCTTTTGCCCAAAGGGGACCTTCTGCCCTTGTGCAGGCAAGATTTTCTTTGTGGCTTCTGTGCCCCCCAGAGCCTTTGTCCTACACTTCAAAGTCAGGGCTGATCAAATGTCTGGTCCTCCATGAGCCTCCCAGCTAATGTACACTCTAGTGGGTGACTGTGGTTGGCCACAGAATGCAAGCTACCAGAGGAAGTGTGCAGTCACTGCCTGTTGCCTTCCCCTCCCTGAAGTTCTCATGCCCTCCCCCTTTCCCTTTCAGAAGTTGCTCTGGGCTTCTTGCCACGCCAGTGACACGCCTATGATAAATTTTGACTTCCATCAGTTTGCCAAAGGCGGGAAGCTAGAGAAATTGGAGAACCTTTTGAGGCCTCAGTTAAAGCTTCACTGGGATGACTTTGACGTGTTCGCGAGGGGCAAGAATGTAAGTCCACGGTGAGTCTGGCTGCAAGCTCCATCTTCCTGCCAGGTGAGGAGCCCAGGGCTGCCGTTGCCTCAACGGGCCTCATCAGGGAAGTGTTCCCCTCCCCAACTGCTTGGCCGCTGTACTTGCAGTCTCCTGGGCCCTGTCACACCTCTGGGCTCCTAGCCTTCTTCCCTGCCTTCCTGCAGTCAGAGGTGTGCATATGAATTTTGTGTGCAGATGGTAAAGCCTGGTTCTCTAGAAAAATGAACATCCTAATGTAAGGGACTGTGTTGAAATTTTGAGCTCAAATGACCAGGCAGCTTATCCACACTGTGACAGGACTTGTGAGAGAGAGAAGGGACTGTTGCTGATCATAGCAGGAGAGCTGGCTTAAGGATGAGCAAGGAAATGGGGCTGTGCATTACCCTTTTCAGAGCCAGAAAGGAAGCTCAGCTTCCTCCATACACACACAGTCCATCCTCATTATTTACAGAATTCACCTACTCACTACCTGAATCAAGTCTGTCACCCAGTGTGCACGTGCCCAGTGAGGTCAAACAGGTGGCACTCTCCCTCGTCTCAGCTCTCATCCTGTAAGCAAGTGTCCTTTCACTATTTAGTGCCACATTTTTCACATTTTGTGCTTTGCTTGGTTATTTCAATGTTAAAATGGCCCCCAAGCAGTACTTTTGGTTGCATAGAACCTGAAGTACCACTTGGTGTATCTAAGAAGGCAGTGGTGACATGCCTTAGGATGCACATTAGACAAGCATCATTCAGGCAGGAGTTGTATTCCCATTGCTTGGGACTTCAGTGTCAGTGAAGTAGCCATTGGGAGATGCCCTTGTACTTAAAATGGGATCATCTTAAGTTGTGTCCTGATAAATTCATGGTATGCTGAAAATGTCTTAAGTCAAAATGCCTCTAATAGTCCAATTACACCTCAAAACTTTCTCAGTTGAGCCATCCTGCGGGCTGTCTGTATATATTTAGTAATGTATCTTTAAATAGAAACATGTAAAACAGAGTCGTTTTTGAGGAATTGATGGCACTGTTGTGGCCAGAGGCTTTCAGGTACTAACTGCACTTTTCGCAGGAGTAGGGCTTCAGTATTTGCTAATTTAGTGTCCAGCAATTTTATAGAAAGGCACTGCTGTGGAGCCTAAAGGACTTTCAGCGACCTGGGGGTGGAGCTGCTGAGAGCATGTTCTGGGGACTACTTGCCATTCCTGCAGGGGAGAATTCCTTTGGATGTGTCCCTGGGATGCAGGTGGGCTGCCAGGAAGGCCATGAGGAGTTCTCTCTTGGAACAAGTCTCCATTAGAGTCGATAGACTTAGGCTGTCACGCTATGGTTGCTCTCCAAACATATCTGGTAATTGTTCCCATTTCTTCTTGTGGTCCCAAGTTTTCAGAAAGGCACTTTGCGGATGAACTGTCTCGACTGCCTGGACCGAACCAACACTGTGCAGAGCTTCATCGCACTAGAGGTCTGTCCCCTGGACCATCTGCATCATGTTCCATGCCTTCAGTGGGGCAGGCTGGGACTTTAGCAGCAAGATAGGGTGGCTCCACTGGGTTGATGTTTCCAGTGATGGAGCAGGTGATGGAGATGTACTGGTACATCTAGAGAGGTTCCCTTGATGGATTCTTTCCTGTGCCACCATGAACCTCTCCTGTCATAGGCACACCTAGTCACATACTTTCTGGGATGCATCCCAGCCATGGTAGCCCAAAGGCTCCAGGCACCCTTGAGAAGCAGCACTTCTAGGTAGTGATTGTCATGACCAGTGGCCAGGGCAGTGTGAGGCTGGCTGAGATGAGGCTGGATCTGAAGCCAGGGGAGGGTCACACCCAAGTCTGTTAGGATGGACCTAGCTGCCTGGCTGACCTCTGAGCTCTGTCCTAAGAGGAGTGATCTGGAGTCCCCACACCTGCTGTACCCACTGCTTGCTACCTAGCTTTTTGGCAGTGGTGGGGTAGTCAGACTTAAGGAAATCAGAGGAGAGAGGCTGGGAGATCAGAGGAGGAGCACAGGGCCTTTCAGAGCCCAGAGCATCTGTGGTCTGCTGAATGAGGGCTCAATAAGAGGCAAATTCCCAGGGACATTCCCATTAAGTAATCAAATGTAACTGCCCCTCATTTCTCCCCCAGGTCCTTCACCTGCAGCTCGAGAGCTTGGGGCTGAATTCAAAACCCATCATTGACCGCTTTGTGGAGTCCTTCAAAGCCATGTGGTCTCTGAATGGGCACAGCTTGAGCAAGGTGTTCACAGGCAGCAGGGCCCTGGAAGGGAAGGCCAAGGTAAGAACAAGTCAAAGGGAGTGCGAGGGGAGCCTCATGAATCCCTCTTACACCTGTGCTTGGGTTCACACAGGTGGGGAAACTGAAAGATGGGGCCCGGTCCATGTCTCGTACCATCCAGTCCAACTTCTTTGACGGGGTCAAGCAGGAGGCCGTCAAGCTGCTGCTAGTTGGAGATGTCCACAACGAGGAGTCAACAGACAAGGGGAGGATGCTGCTGGACAGCACGGCCCTTCTGGGTAATAGGCTCTTGCCCTGCTTGCTTGGGGGTGCCCCTAGCCTCCCAGTTCAAGGGCATAGGTAGAGGTGGTGGATGGAGCTAACCAGACCCACCACCCCACCACGAACCCACCATGGTGGGTGGCAGACACATCAGAGCTTCTGATCTGTGGTTTCTTGGTTGACCAGTTGATCTAAACAGCTTGGAGCTGTCCTGTCACTGCACAGTTGTACCTCTGTATCTGTGGAGCATTGAGTCTAGGATCCCTGAGGATACCAAAATCTGCAGATGCTCAAGTCCCTTAGGAAAATGGCATAGTCTTTACATAGAATCTACAAACATCCTCCGTTATACTTTAAATTGTCTCTAGATTACTTGTAATAATTAGTGCAAATGCAAACAGTTCTTCTGTGGTTTTATTAGGGAAAACGACAAGAATAAAGTCTGTACAGTATGTGTGCAATTTTTGTCAAACGTTTTCAATTCATGGTTGAATGCATCTGATGTAGAACTGCAGATGCCCAGGACAGATACTGTGTGGGAGGAAACCTGTGCCTTCTGGTGTCTTCTACTCTCTTAGCTTGGGCTATTTCCTAAGCCAAGAGTTGGGGAGGCAGGTAGAGGGCTCTGTTGAAAGTCTGTACTATTCTGAAAGTCTCCATGCCTCTGACTTAACTTACTCCAGAAACATCTTTAGCACCCTGGGCTCTTGAACCCACTGTCCTGTTCTGGGCCTTGTAGAAATAGAGAGAATACTGTTGAGAGCTAGGGGTTGAGGGGATAAAGGTATGTCTGGTCTTGACAGGACTGTTGGGGATCCACCAATAGCTAGAGGTTTTTTAGGGGAAATTTTAATGGCATCTTAGTCCCTGGAGCTTGTGAACTTTGTAGGTCTAATGAAAAAGAAAGGGAGACTCAGCATTTTTCCTTGTAAGAGTAAGTTTTAGAAATTCTTGATGTGTTTGAAAGAGGAGTGAGCCCATGTTTAAAATGGCTTCATAGACCTTTTCTCATTCTTCCACATTGGGAAACACTAATTTGGCCTCTGATAGCCAAGGTGGCATTTTAGTTTCTGCTCTGGGGCTGACTCCAGCTCAGGTGAAGCTGAACAAAGTTCCAATACCATAGCAAGGCTTGTCTGTGGCACAGCAGAAAGGATTTGGATTAAATTACTAGTTGAAAAGATTAGATATATTTTGCCTTTCTAAGAGGATGGAGATGACGCAGTGTCTTGATTTTGTCCTAATGCCTCAAGTCTGAGGCCAAGTAAACAGACATCCAGGCTTGCAGGATGGAAGGTCAGAAATGCATATATGGGGGTTTTGGTTGATATGAGTTAAAATTTTATATACATGTAATTTATATACATATCATTTATTATTGCTTATATATATACTGCATGTTTATACACATGCATTTATCTGATCCACTGCATGCCCCTTTGCTCTCATTCTTGTTCCTCCTTCTATGGAATCAGGGCTAGGTTTTCTCCCTGTGCGTGTGTGACATTTCCTATGGCCTGATGTCACATGACCTGGGGCAAGAGCATGGAGGGGAGAACTTCCGGTCCTGCATTTTCATACCTCTATTGCAAATGGGGAAGTGTAGCAGTTACTGTGGTGTTAGCTTTTAACCATCTTTCTAACACACATGTTGGTCCATATCCATGGGCTTGTGAACAAGTTTTCCCTGCCAGTCCACCCCTCCTATAATTTTGGAAGATGTTTGATATTTGGGCATCTTGAGAAATGTGCCCTTTTTTGTGCCTCTAAACAGTGACTCCCAGGATCCTGAAAGCCATGACAGAGCGTCAGTCAGAATTCACTAACTTCAAGCGGGTCCGAATCGCTATGGGGACCTGGAATGTGAATGGAGGAAAGCAGTTCCGCAGCAACCTCCTGGGGACAGCAGAGCTCACTGACTGGCTGCTGGATGCACCCCAGCTCTCAGGAGCTGCTGACTTCCAGGGTGAGGGTGGTCACTCGGTAAAGAACAAACACAATTCTGTCTAACCTGCTGCAACAGCTTGACCTTCTCCATAGCTTTGCTTTTGGGAATTTAGTATTTGGGATTTTCACTCCTCAAAATGTTTATAAGGACCATGGTCAAACCCACTAGAACACTGCCTAGCCACTTAACTGTGAGCCTCCTTTTTTTCTCAAATGTTTGGAAGTTATCAGAGGGTGGATCTGTTTTCTCTTCACTCGCACAGATTCTGTAGCCTTAGTTTGGGGTCGTTAGGACCCAATTGTCATCAGAAGGAGATGTATGTGGCCTCTAGAGCTGAGCTACTGTCAGGAGGCAGCTAGAGCCAGGTTCACAATTAATGATACTCCCACCCAAGATCACCCCTGTCTCAAGCTAGCCAGTTTGGCTATCCCTAATCTGGGACTCTGAAATCCGAAATGCTCCCATGTCCAAAACTTTGTGAGCACCATTGTGACACCTCAAGTGGAAAATTCCATTCCTGATCTCATGTCATGGGTCTCAGTCAAAATGCAGGTGCACTAAAAACGTATAAAATGCCTTTCAGACTAAGTGTATAAGGTATACACAAAACAAATGAATTTCATGTTAGACTTGGGCCCCTCTCCAAAGGTGTCTCATTATGTGTATGCAGATGCTCCAAAATCCAAAATCTGAAATTCATCTGGTCTCAAGCATTTTGATAAGAGATACTCAATCTATAAATAATATTCATCCACTGTAGTCACAAAAGAATTTTTATGCTGAGAACAAAATAACTCCACATTTGTCTCTTTGTCATATCCTGTTCAGTGACCTCAGGACTCAGATTTGAAGAGCAAATGGTTTTTGCCCAGTGTTAACTCAGGAGCCTTGCTTTTTTCCACATTTTTAAACTCAGGAAGAGGTTCGTGACTGAACAAAAGTAGCTGTGATTGGTGGTCCCTGATGGTCTATGCTTAGGTGCTCAAGTAGTAAGAGCTCTTGTCTAACAAATGTGAGGCCCTGAGTTCAAATTCCAGTTCCACACATACAAAAAAAGCAGCAATGAATGCCACCAGAGGAGAATGCCCTCCTAATATCAAAGGATCCCCTTTCTCTGCCTGCAGGAGAGGGCAGTGGTTACAGTGCACTGGTGGCTGTCTTGCAGGATTTACAGGAGTGGGTTCACCAGAAACCTGCTAGGTTCAGGAGAAGAAGGAGTTGAACTTACCGTTGCCAATCAGAGCAGACTGAGGATAGGGATTGTTTCTTTTTTATTCATTCATTCATTCATTTATTTGTGGCACTGGGGTTTGAACTCAGGGCCTCATACTTGCTAGATAGGTGCTCTTACTGCTTGAGCCACTCCACCAGCCTGGGATGTTTTATTTGTAAAAAGAAAGTAGCTTTAAGCTTTATGCTTTCAGCCAGTTTAGCCAGAAGTGCTAGGTGCCTGTGTGACCAGTGGAGAAGGAAGAGGAAAGCCAGCCTTGCCTTTTGCTGTGGAGCCTTCTTCCTCCCCATAGAGCCCAGGGTGGGAGGCATGTCATATCCTGCAGCTGAAACCCTGTCTAGGCCTGATGGTGTGGGGACCTGGGTGTCAGAGGATGTGGCTAGAGATTCAGAAATTCCTGCAGGGATTATATGGAATCCTGGCCTCCTTTGTCAAAGGGAGCAGGGACAGATAGCAGCTCTGGGCTTGCTGCACAGCCAGGTGCTTCTGTAGCAGATCCCATCAGAGCACTTCCTGGGCAGCAGTGGTACCCACCTGGATCTCTTTTCTGACCACCAAACAACCAGATGGCACCATGTCAATCTGTCATTAACTGGGCTATGCCCAGCTCTGTGAAAAGTACTTAGGAGACACAAGCTAAATATGAGATGGTGTAGCCCCTGCATCACATAGGGGGAAGACTAGCTGGAGAGACTGGTCATTAGGAAGGGCCAAGTATTTCACTCACAGTTTCTAAGTTATATTCCCCAACCTCTGGTGAGGTGGTGATTACTGTCTTACAGAGATGTGCACAGGGAAGGCCGTGGATGGTGAGGGAAATAAGTACAAGAAAAGAGGGGAGGAAAGTCTCCAGTGGCTTGTCCCCTGTGAGTGGTCGGGTTGAGTGGACTCTGGCAGTGATCAGAGTGGCTCAGAAGAGAGAGAGGGAACCTCATGAACCAACAATGCAGGACTTGGCAGTTCTCATTTCCTTTATCTCCCACCTTGTTCTCCAGATGACAGCAGCCCAGCTGACGTGTTTGCTGTGGGGTTTGAAGAAATGGTAGAACTGAGTGCAGGAAATATTGTCAATGCCAGGTAAGGGGCCTAGTGTAGAGGACCAGATGCCCCCAAGCCAGGAGTCTGGCTGGGAGCAGGGCCCTGAGTGGTGCAGATCCAGCAGTCTATGGCCATGGCTTTGTGCACACTTCTGGCTGGCTCCTTCCCACACTCACAGAGGGCACTGCCCTGTACCTCTTTCCCTGCCAACTAAGCAGGTAGAAGGAAGGGCTGGTTTCGCTGTGTCTTCTATGAGGTGTTCCAGCCTGGGCCACATGCTAAGGTTGATTCATGCTGCTACAGGGAACTGGTATGTGTGAACCTGGAGCACAGGACAGGGCAGGGCAGGACTGGGAGAGCATCTGACTTGTGTTTCCTGGGGAGAGGTGAGAAAGTGAGTGGGGGAGGAAGTGCTTCTTTTTATACCTGGCACCAAGCAACGACCCAAAACTAGTAGATTAACATTTAGTGTAAGGGAATCCAGGCCTTCTCCCAAACTAGCTACTTTTATTTCCATCGTCTTTCTGAACAAATAAATAAAGCTAACTCTATGGAGCTCTTATGAGCAAGTCCTGTGCTAGGTGCCAGGGAATGAGGAGGGGATACTGTGATATATAAGACTCCTCTGAAAATATTTAGGTAGGACATGGGAGGAACCATATTGGGGTGCAGGCAGCATGGGATCACTTCTGTAAAAAGAGTACTACAGGGGTTTTGGGTGAGAAAAGGCACTTCTGCTCACGGTGAACAGCATGCTTCCTTTTCTTCTCCAGCACCACCAACAGAAAGATGTGGGGCGAGCAGCTTCAGAAAGCCCTCTCACGCTCTCATAGGTACATTCTCTTGACTTCAGCACAGCTGGTGGGCGTCTGTCTTTATATCTTTGTACGTCCATACCATGTCCCGTTCATCAGGTAAGAAGAACATTTAGTTTATAGACATCTGGGGAATGAGGGGCTGTGAGTCTTTGTGTTTTGTTCTGGGACTTCCTCTTAATACCCCACTCCTACAACAGGAATCAGGGCCTGCCATTATTCTAGATAAATGGAGCAAAACTCCTGAGGAAAAACAAGGATGAATAGAATTAAAAAGCCACGACAGAGAACTCCTAACTCAGGAAGCTGACCTCTGTTAAGCAGAGTGTTCCATGCTGGTTATCACCGATACTCAGTTCTGTGCAAGGAAGGGGTTTCTCGTTCATGGTTTACAGACAGGAAACCTCTGAGCAAGAGCTGAGTAACTTACCAGGAAATGCCAAGTCTTTTGTCTCTTTTTGAAAGAATTCTAAGTAGAATTTTTCTCACTTCATTATTATTTCTTCAAGGTGACAGCTTTGTGAGCGTGAGAAAGGAGAAACCTTAGGAAACAGGTCTCTTTTTATGAAAGTTTGTATGTGTGTTTTAAGATTTTGGAGGAACTTGATTTTTCCCTAATGGCCTCCTATTGTTACCTGGTCTTGATCATGGCATTCTAACTGCAGTTGCCAGGTGTTGAGCAGACCTTCCTCCGAAGTCAAGGACAAGACCTGGCCAAGCACCACTGGCATGCCTGTGGTGGCCCTTAGGCTCTGCTTTCACAATCCTCTTCGTGACCTTCAGAAGATGTTTAGGTCCCTGCCCCTCTGACTATGTTCCTGGGGCAGCATGGACTCATCCCAAGTTAGTACAGGAAGGGTCAGGGTGAAGGTCAGCAATAATCCTCAGGGAAGGTGAGGCAGAGGGCCTGCAATTTCCCACATACTGCCTGAGGTCTCGCCACTGTGTCCTTACCTTCCTGCTCCTTGGCCTCCAGCTTATTTAGCTTGTACACCTTTGGCAGTTGTCCCTTCACCTTGTCTACCAGCAAGTCTGTGGCCATGGCCTCCATCTGTGGCCTGGTCACAGAAATAAACAAGAGCTTGCATCATGGTTCTAGGGTCCTGCACAAGTGTGTGTTCCAGGTTGGCATTTAAAGTGAGCAGGAGTCTGCTTTGTGGGAAAGTCAACTTGAGAGCACTCCTGGGGCCAGCTCACGCCAGCCCGAATGACTGTCTCCTAAGTTCTCATAATGTGTTGATTGCCAAGTGAACCCTCCCGTGCTGTGCAGGAGAGCTGTGTGGGGCAGGCTGGGCGTCAGGGAAGTGCTTGCTGATCCTGCTGGTGGGAAAGCTGGGGCAGACACGGGTACAGTGCACCTATAGCTTCGCGGGTATTTGTGGAGGTTAACGCTCTTGCCTTGTACCCCTGCAAGGCCACACTCAGCAGCAAGGGGAAGCGGCCTCCTGACCCCATGGTCGATGATACTCAGGGTGACCTTAGCCGTGAAAGACCGCGTGAAACAAGCCTCTGGGCCAGTGCTTCAGGGTCTCAGAGCACAGACCTCGTGCTGCTGCCGGCTCTTCTCTGCGGCAGGTTGGCACTTTTCTCTGGTCAACTGAACATGCATGTTCTGCTATTCCAGGAATGTGGCCATCGACACAGTGAAGACTGGTATGGGGGGAAAGGCGGGGAACAAGGGTGCCGTGGGCATCCGTTTCCAGTTCCACAGCACCAGCTTCTGCTTCATCTGCAGTCACCTGACAGCCGGGCAGTCGCAGGTGAAGGAGAGGAACGAAGACTACAGGGAAATTACCCATAAGCTCTCCTTCCCTGCGGTGAGTGGGGAACCAGGGCTGGGGCTGGGCCTCCCTGCTCAATTCCACCACCTCTGGCTTTCTGAGCTGCTAGTAGGTACCAGGCACAAGGGCCATAACACACAGAGGGTCCCTGCCATGGTTCCATGCTTGGGGGGAGGGAAGATGCAGGCAGGGTCATACCTGGGAATGACTGTGGATGGTGTGACAGAGGAAGCCCAGAGGAACCCAGCTCTGCAGTGTTCTGTCCCCGCCTACCTACTTCCCCGATATCCTTAGGTACCCCAGCTTTTCTTAGGTGCATTTTCCAATTCAGGTGATGGAATGGGGAGAGAGAACCAGTGTGTCCGTGCTTTCTTTCCAGAGAACATTTGCATCCAAACAGTATAAGATTTCATTGTCTTGGGAGTGAGACTGTAGACTTAGTTTTCTTGGGATGCACAATCTTCGCATATGTTCTGTTACAGTGCAGCTAAGAACTCCCTCTTCCAAATCAGCCAATCATGATTAAGGAGCCTGGGTTTCCCTTCCCACACACACCATCTGCCCTGAGGTTGCCAATAATGCAGGCTAGACTGCCCTCTAGTGGTGGTCCAAAGGTGTCCATGCTGAAGCTAGTGGGTTTTTATTTTCCAATTTAGATTTTTAAAAATTTGTTTATTTATTTATTTATTTTGTGGGACTAGGGATTGAACCCAGGGCTTCGTGCTTGCAAAACAGGCTCTCTACCACTTGAGCCATACCTCCAGTCCATTTTTTTCTGGTTATTTTGGAGATGGGGGTCTTATGAGCTGTTCCCCCCAGGCTGTCCTCAAACCTCAGTCTTCCCAATCTCAGCCTCTCAAGTAGCTAGCATTATAGGTGTGAACCACTGGTACCCAGCTCAAATTTTGATTTTAATGTCCTCATGCAAATATGTTGCCCTGCTCACCTCTAGCCTAGATGCCTGGGCCACCTCTTCCCCAAGGAAGATTTCACTTGTCCTTGCCACAATTTCTTCCAGCCTCTGAGCAAGGCTGGCTGGGACCTGGAGAACAAGACAGTAGAGAACAGGGTTCCTAGAGAATATACCTATTTCCTTTGAAAACAGATCCCTTAAAACTGACACCCTATCAACTGGGATGCAAGTCTGCAATGCAAAAACATTCTTAATTTTCATTCATCATAGTTTTTGATTTTTGGGGGGAAAGGGGCTTGCTCTTGCAAGGCAGGTGGTTTACCACTTAAACCACATACCCAACCCTTTTTGTTTTAGTTTTCATTCATTTATTTTTTTTGGCAGTACTGAAGTTTGAACTCAGGGCTTTGCGCTTGTTAGGCATGTGGTTGACTGCTTAAGCTGTACCTCCAGCCATTATTACTCCGGTTATTTTGGGGACAGGGCCTCACATTTTGCCCAGACTGGCCTGGACTGTGATGCTCCCATTTCAGGCTTCCTGCCCCTGCTGGGGTGACAGGCACACAACACCATGCCCAGTTTTTTATTGTTTGAATTGGGGGGTCATGAACTTTTTGCCTGGCTGATTTTGAGCCACGATCACCCTGATCATAGCCTCCTGAATAGCTGGGATGACAGGTGTGCACCATCCTGCCACACTTTATTTCTTGTTGTAAAGAATGAACTACATTTTAACAAACGTAGTTAAAAACAAAGTCCAACCCTTCTTGCTTGGGTCACATTCCAAATGATTAGTTTATAGTACGGCTCTTTTTCCCCCCGACAACAGAAATATTGAGGGCACCTGTACATTAATTGTCAATACCTGTAGTATCCAATACAGTAGCCACTGACCACAAGTATTCATTTGAATTAAATTATCCCTTGCACTGGCCACATAGGAAGTGCTCAGCATTCCCTGGCATGTGGTTAGTGGCTCCCATGCTTGTAGAAAGTTCCGCTGGACAGTGCTGTCTGCAGACTTGTTTTATTTGGTTGTGATTATCTTGATCTTCTGTCTAGGTCATCATTATAGGGTGAGGAAGTGGGAACCCCTCATGGCAAGGGGTAGTAGATACGGGTTTTGAAACTAGGCAGATCCAAGTTCAAATGTCATATCGTGCACCAGCTGTGCAGCCTTCAGTAAGTTGCTTTGTTTCTGAATTTTTTTTAACCTAAAAGAGAGCCCATAGAATCTGCCACCAAGGTGCTGCTGTGAGGATGGGGTGCACCCAAGTAAAACCCAGCCCTGTCTGTGGACAGTGGTTGCATAGCAGCTGCTGTTGTTATGGGGGAGAGCGCTCCAGGACTGAGCTGGGATCTGTGGGCTGCTGGCACTGTGCAGGATTGGGAAGAGGGAGAGTGATGGAGAGTCACAGGCACAGTCCATCAAGTATAGAAGCTGTACATTCTCACCACTTTGCATAACTTTCCTTAAGCCTAATGCTGTTTGTGCTTCTTAGCATGTGGGCATTGCCAGCTATGGGCCTGTGTTTGTGGGGGGTCAGAACTGGTGGAATAAATACTGGCAGTCATGCTTCCCAACTGGAGTTAGACCTTTGTCTGAACCATTCAAGGACACTGTTTACAACAGAAAATCCTTTACAATAGAAAATCCTGACATGATTTGTAAGGATTTCTCAGTAGGTTCGTGGGATTAGTGAAAAAATGAGAGACTGTAAAAGAAAACCTAAAAGTAACAATTTAAGAAAAACTCCTGTGCTGATCTCCCTCTGATGAGTTGTTTCCCACCCCTCCCCCCATTCTGCCTTCTTTGCAAGATGGACTGGAATAATTGTGGTTTTCTTTACAATTTTAGGGGAGAAATGTTTTTTCTCACGATTATGTGTTTTGGTGTGGCGATTTCAACTACCGCATTGATCTTACTTATGAAGAAGTCTTCTATTTTGTTAAACGCCAAGACTGGAAGAAACTTCTGGAATTTGATCAGTTACAGCTACAGAAATCAAGTGGGAAAGTAAGTTGTGCTTTTAAGAGATTTTTAGCAGCTGTTCTGATGAGGAGTGAACACCTCATTCCAGTACAGAACAGTGTCTGCTAAATGTATCTGCTTAGTGCTCGGCAGAGTGAGTTCCATGAGTGGTCTCAGTTGTGTTTCTGACAGGGTAGAACATGTGTGGGGCTTATGAAGTTAGGGAAATAGGAACGTGTGTCCATTCCCACAATTTCTGCCCTTTTATTTTGGTTTTTGGGTTTTTTTGTTTGGTTGGTTGGGTTTTTTTTTTTTTTTGGTGGAACTAAGGTTTGAACTCAGGACTTTGCACTTGGAAAGCAGGCATTCATAAAGCAGGCACTCTACCACTTGACCCACAACTCTAGTCCATTTTGCTTTGGTTATTTTGGAGATGGAGTCTCGCTAACTAGTTTCCCTGGCTGACCTTGAACTGTGATCCTCCAGATCTCAGCCTCCCAAGTAATTAGAATCACAGGCGTGAGCCACAGGTACCTGGCTACAATTTGAATTTTGCTCAAAATATTTTGGTGATATCTCTATTGTTGGTGAAAACACTAACAAATTATAATAGTATATAATATACTATTCACAGCAATTTGTACATATTATTTTTAAAACTGCGCTAAAAATAAGATGTTATAATCATTTTATGGATGAAAAAACGGAGGGTAAAGTGAGATTACTCGTTTAGGTCACAGCCAGTACACCAGGCCAGGATTTGGTTGAAGATGGTCCAATGCAGAACCTGTGCCTCCCCTCCATAGCCCATGTGCAGGTTTCTAGGAACTCCGTAAGCTATGGCATGAATAGGAAAGATTCAACTATAGAGTCTTTCCCCAGGGTGTCAGACTCGTGCCAGCCAGCTTCCTGATGTCCCCAATTTGTCTTCTCCTCCAGCTGATACTGTTGCTATGTCAGTATCCTACGTTCTAGCTGGATGGGCCAAGTCAGAGAGGTTCATCCAAATAGCATTTGCCTTTTGAGAATGGGGTGGGCCTGGATAGGTGTCTGAGGAGAGGGAATTTAAGGTTTCTTCTCCCACCCCCTACCTCCACCTCCTGAGAGCAAGACTTTGAGGTTTTCTCTACCTTCCTACCTTAGTGCCTGCCAGTGCCTGGATCACTGAAGGTAGCCACATGGGCAAGTGACCACACCAGACCTCCCAAAAAGGATTTTCTTTCTTCTTCCTACCAATATTCTTACCCTCTGCACTGAGAGAATAAGTGAGCGTTTGTTCTGGGCCTTCCAGAGCAAATCCAGGCCAGATCTAGAGCTAAACAGAGGTGAGCTTGGCTTCCACTCCCTGCTTCCATACTCAGCCTGTTTACTAACAAGTGCTGATTCAGGCCTTGTCAGCCATAGGCTGGGCATTACACAGGCCTGGGAGTGCCCTTCTCTGACCCTGGGGGTGACAGCAGATGGTGGCTAGAGGGGATGCAGGAAGGAGGGAAGATACTGAAGTGGTGTCTGTCAGCAGAACGAGGAAAGGCTCACTACCCTTTTTGCTACTTAAGAGCCATATTTATGTCCAGTATAAGACTTGCAAATATTACACAGATTTTCTTACTTTTTAAAACATTCTATTTTTCTTTCTTCCTTTTTTGGGGGGAGGGGAATTAGACTAGGATTTGAACTCAGGCCTTTGCACTTGCAAAGCAGGCACTCTATTGCATGAGCCATGCCTCCAGTCCCTTTTGCTCTGGTTATTCAGCCTCCTAAGTGGCTAGTGTTACAGTCGTGAGCCACCAGTGCCTTTTTTCTTAAGGTGACCTTGTCACTTTTTTCTCCCAATAGATTTTTAAAGACTTTCATGAAGGAGCCATTAACTTTGGACCTACATATAAGTATGATGTTGGCTCTGCTGCCTATGACACAAGTGACAAGTGCCGTACCCCAGCCTGGACAGACAGAGTGCTGTGGTGGAGGAAGAAGCATCCCTTTGATAAAACAGGTGTGTGACAGGCAGGCCAGAGAGCTGGTCAGTGGTGGAGAGTAGAAATACCAGAGGGGGAGAAATCAGTCCTCAGCCCAGTGCTCTGCTATGTGTATCAGTTTTCCTCATAACCCAAATTACAAAGAAGCACCCCAGATATCAAACCCTTTGGAAGCTATGCTTTGGGGATCCTATCCTCCCTCTGGCCTCTTTCTGGACTGCGACCTACAAATGGGTCTGTGCTGGGGTGACCTGTCTCTGCATCATGGTGCCTCTACCCAACCCTGTGCCTTTTGCCCTGGGAAGAAAAAGGAGCAAAGTATCAAGGGCCCTCTCCCCTCCCCATACACCACTCAGGTACTTCTTTTTTTTTTTTTTTTTCATTTTTCTTTTATTATTCATATGTGCATACAAGGCTTGGTTCATTTCTCCCCCCTGTCCCCACCCCCTCCCTTACCACCCACTCCACCCCCTCCCGCTCCCCCCCTCAATACCCAGCAGAAACTATTTTGCCCTTATCTCTAATTTTGTTGTAGAGAGAGTATAAGCAATAATAGGAAGGAACAAGGGGTTTTGCTGGTTGAGATAAGGATAGCTATACAGGGCATTGACTCACATTGATTTCCTGTGTGTGGGTGTTACCTTCTAGGTTAATTCTTTTTGATCTAACCTTTTCTCTAGTTCCTGGTCCCCTTTTCCTATTGGCCTCAGTTGCTTTAAGGTATCTGCTTTAGTTTCTCTGCGTTAAGGGCAACAAATGCTAGCTAGTTTTTTAGGTGTCTTACCTATCCTCACCCCTCCCTTGTGTGCTCTCGCTTTTATCATGTGCTCATAGTCCAATCCCCTTGTTGTGTTTGCCCTTGATCTAATGTCCACATATGAGGGAGAACATACGATTTTTGGTCTTTTGAGCCAGGCTAACCTCACTCAGAATGATGTTCTCCAATTCCATCCATTTACCAGCGAATGATAACATTTCGTTCTTCTTCATGGCTGCATAAAATTCCATTGTGTATAGATACCACATTTTCTTAATCCATTCGTCAGTGCTGGGACATCTTGGCTGTTTCCATAACTTGGCTATTGTGAATAGTGCCGCAATAAACATGGATGTGCAGGTGCCTCTGGAGTAACAGTCTTTTGGGTATATCCCCAAGAACCACTCAGGTACTTCATGCAGCCTGTTTTGTTCAGCCAAACTCTTGACTGCTTAAAGCCCCAATTCCAAACTGAACATGAACATACCTGAACGTTACATAGTAAAAATAAGAGTATTTTTTCATCAGTGTGTTGTCAAGTATGTTTTGAGCAGTTACTCTGCCAGCTGAGAAGTGAGGCTTGTTAACCTAGTGCATAAACAACAGGCCACATTTTGAGAGAGATCTGCTGAAATTTCAAAGTCAGGGAACTACATTTGCAGGTAGAAGGGAAATTTTTTTCCTTCAGAGAAGTCTGGGACCATCTGCGTGGCCTGAGGGCATTGAGAGGCAGGGGCCACAAGAGTCTGGCTTCTCAGCCTCTGCACCTGTCTGTGCAAATGGCTGTAGGTTGCCTGTAATTCCTGGTGCCTGCAGGGCAGAAACCCAGAAACTTGACTGACTGCATCCTGGACCCACAGTCCACAGGGAGGAGAGGAGATGGTCGTGGTCATCACTGTTCAGGATAATCTGCATGTGAGGAATTTCTGAACCCCAGGTCCCAAAGCAGCCCAAGCCCAGGTTTGAGCTCAAGAGGGTAAAGCAAAAGAGCCTGAGCCATAGGTGGTTTGAGGCAGATCTGTGCAGTGGTTGCTTGTGATGCCCTTTGTGAATATTGATACGATTTTATGTTCTCATGGGTCTCTTGATGGAATCCTGTGAGCAGCTGGAGAGCTCAACCTTCTAGACAACGATCTAGATGTCAGTACTAAAGTCAGACACACCTGGTCTCCCGGCACCCTCAGGTACTATGGACGCGCAGAGCTGCAGGCATCTGATCACAGGTACAGTCCTCCTGAGGAAGCTAGTGCCTCTTCCTCGTGTGTGTGTGTGTGTGTGTGTGTGTGTGTGTGTGTGTGTGTGTGTAAAATACACCATGGATCAAAGACAGACTGTGTGTGTGTGTGTGTGTGTGTGTGTAAAATACACCATGGATCAAAGACAGACCGAGTACCCACCACCAAGCATTAACAGTTGTTAGTATTGTGTCATTGCTCTGTAAGGTCAATGATGTCATTTATGAAAATAAATGTAGCCTATGCAGCTGTCTTTGAAATGTTCCTATGCAGTGTTGCACATGGCCTGTTTTTCTTGGTGGTATTTTTGAGCTGCAGTTTTGGTAGTATGGATCAGGTTCACACATGTGTGACTGCTGTCCAGCATTCTGACAGACTTATGAAATGGACTCACTGACCTGTTAATGAAGAGTTTTTCTAGTATTCTGTTATAAACACCATAGGGTTTTTATATCTTGGATTCAGGGCTGTTAGATGCTCTGAGCTGTTGGCTTGGCCATGGGCACTGTGCACTGAGGATGGAAGGAGACAGCAGATGGCAGGGCAGGTGGGGAGATGGCAGAGGGTGGCATCTGAGGGTGGGTAGGAAGAGTCTGATATTCTTTAGATGCCCACTGTTGCCAGGACAACCCTAGACATGACTCTGGGGAGCTGGGGGGAGAAGGCAGTAGAGCAAGTGGTGAGCAAAACAGATGAGACTGTGCTTCATGGACTTTTCTAGAAGGGACAGATGATAACATATAAGTGCAATAAGAGAAAACAAAGTGGTGGCAAGGGTCAGTCACACAGGCTTGGTTCTGTCTTCTACCCACTGTCTAGGGAAGGCCTCTGGTTAGATGGCCTTAGAGCAAGAATGAGAGTGGGAGGCATGTGGATGTCTGAGGGAGAGCATTCCTGGAGGGCACAAGTCTGCCAATACCAGAGAGCCTGGGATAGTAGAGAAAATGGAGCAGAGGACTAGGGGAAGAGCCACCGGTGGGAACAGCTGCACCCCCGGGCCCTGTAAGAGTTGTGCTGAGCTGAGGAGGGCCTTGCCCCATACAGGCTTGATGGAATCAGTCACCCCACCAGGCTCCAGTGGGACAAGTGTGGGCTCAGAGAAGAAGTAGGGCTGGCTTTGGCTTGGGAGCCTTGGGTCCTGGTGGTGGAACATGGTGCCTTCAGTGGAGACCACTGGTTGCCCACCTATGTCAAGAGCTCAAGCCTTACCATTGCCGAGTAAATAAAGCTGCCTGCTCCAGCCAGTCCCACGTGAGGGGCTCTTCCAAAAGGTGCTTTTGCTAAAGTCCCTGTGTAAGGTTTCTACAGAGAGAGAGAGAGAGAAAGTGGGGAGCTAACACTATAATAGTCTCTGATTTTAAAGGTGAAAACCTTATTATCTTTTTTTTTTTTTTTTTTTTGAGACAAGCTCTCAATTCCTGCGCTCTAGCAATCTTTTTGCCTCAGCCTCCTGAGTAGCTGGAGCTATAGGTGTGTGTCACGGCTTGGCAACAGCCTTTTTTTCTTTTGTGGTGCTGGGGGTCTAACACGGAGCCATGCCCATGCTAGGCAAGTGCTCCATTACCAAGCTGTAACCCAGCCTGCCACCTAATTATATATTATTTCATATTATACTTCATTTCCACCTAATACAGTGTTGTAAATCTTCAGTAAGATTACATAATTTTAAGCTTGGTACCACTGGGTCACACCTGTCATCCTAGCTACTCAGGAGGCAGAGATCAGGAAGATCACAGGTCGAAGCTAGCCCAGGCAAACAGTTCATGAGACCCTATCTTGAAAAACACCCTTCACAAAAAAAAAAGGGGGGGTGGCTGGTGGAGTGGCTCAAGGTGTAGGTCCTGAGTTCAAACCCCAGTATTGAAAAAAAAAATTACACCAATCTTCAGAAGGGATTTTCTATATTTTTGTAAGCACAGTATCACCGTCACAGTAAGGATTGTATCACTTTCTGCTCACCTGCTCTCTGTGTCTGTCAGACGATTTCCCCATCCTCCCCAAGGCTGTGCAGCACTTATCACCTGGGTGATTATATCTGCCTGCTGTGAGGGAATAGATTGTTCGCTTTTTCCCCTCCCTCAATAATGCTATAAACAGTCAGCCTTTCATATAAATCTTCACGTGAGCCTCTGGTCATTTCCTTGAATGAAGTTTCTAGAAATGAGATTACTAAGTTAAAAGAGATGGATAGTTTTGAGACTTTTTTTGGAGGAGGTACTGGGCTTTAATCTCAGGGCCTTGCACTTGCTAGACAGCTGCTCTGCCACCTGAGCCATGTCTCCAGCCCTTTTTGCTTTAGTTTATTTTTCAAATAGGGTCTCGACTTTGACCAGGCCAGTCTGGAACTGATTTCTCCTACTCTCTTCCACGTAGCCTGGATCATTTTTGATATAGGGTCTTGCTAACTTTTTGCCCAGATGGGGCTAAAATTGACATTCTCATATCTCCACCTCCCAGGTGGCTTGGATTACAGATATGAGCCACCACACCTGGCCCTAGTTTTGAGACTCTTAAAACAGAAGGTGCCACATAGCGATGTGAAGAGTTTAAACCCTCAGCAGTGTGATGACCATGTCTCCACATCCTTGACAGGACTAGGGATTGTCATGTAAGAAGTCCTGGAAATGACTGCAATGTTCTTTTTCTCCCTTAAATCATCCTTGGATAGAAATGCCACAATACTACTAAGACTGGGGAAAAATAAAGACTCAACCCCATGGGCTTACGGGTTCACAGTACAGCTTACAGCAGAGCTCCGGGAGACAGAGGCTGGGGTTGGAGGCAGGTGTGACACCTGCCCAGGTTAATGGTTATCCTCTCTCTTCCCTTGGTGTCTGATGCAGACCTGTGCTGGCCATCGTGGAGGTGGAAGTACAAGAAGTCGACGTGGGTGCTCGGGAGAAGGTTTTCCAGGAAGTGTCCTCTTTCCAGGGCCCCCTGGATGCCACCGTTGTTGTAAACCTCCAGTCACCAACCCTAGAAGAGAAGAATGAGTTTCCTGAGGACCTGCGCACTGAACTCATGCAGACCTTGGGGAATTATGGGACCATCGTCCTCGTCAGGTAACCACTGCCCCTTGGATGCAGGATCTGTGAGTACTCCTGCTGTTGTGAGTCCTCCTGGTGTTGACTTGACTGATCTCCTGTGTTCCAGGATCAACCAAGGACAGATGCTTGTGACATTTGCCGACAGTCATTCGGCTCTCAGTGTCCTGGATGTGGATGGTATGAAGGTATGTGGCCTGTTGTCATTCCGTGGAGTGAGGCTGACTGGTCCCCATGTTTATAGAGCCCTGTCTTCCCCTGTCCTCTGGGCCTGATGTGCCCGACCTGTCTGTATGAGCAGATGTTGCACAGGGGATGAGCTGGGACTCTCCACCTGGGTCTTGGGTGTCTCCAGGCTGGGTCAACCCTGGCCACTTGCAGAAGCTTGGATCCCTGGTCATTGTCTGTGCCTCCATGGGGAAGAGTTTTCATCTTTCTCTGTGTTTGGGGGCACACAGCTCATAAGTAGTTTCTGTTTTGATAAAATCCTGATTTTAGATTCGTACAGGATGAAAAGCCAGTGATGATATTCAACTTTCATTTAGATCAAATGTGTGAGACCTGTGCTGAGCCTCCCTGAGGTCTGGACCTCAGTTTTTCCATGTGAAGATTGGCCTTGGGAGAAGCACTGTGTGATCGAGGGAACCAAGTGACTTTTGTCTTTTTTTCTTGCTTGTCATTCATCCTCCAGGTGAAAGGCAGAGCGGTGAAGATTCGGCCGAAGACCCAGGACTGGCTGAAAGGCCTGCGAGAGGAGCTCACCCGGAAACGGGACAGCATGGCTCCCATGTCCCCCACTGCCAACTCCTGTTTGCTGGAGGAAAACTTTGACTTCACCAGTTTGGACTATGAGTCAGAAGGTTAGTGACCCTGTGAGGAGGGGCGGGCAAGCAGTTCTCTCAACACTGGGCAGGCAATCTCAAAGATGCCTCCTCAAATCCTACTCCACAAAGGTTAGAGGACCTTTGAAGTACAGCACCACATCTGTGTGATGGGTGCGGTCCAGTGTTCCTGTGTAGAGATGATTCAGGAATCGGGGAAGGGACCCAGAGATATCCAGACTTACATCAACAGTGGCTTCGAGGCTGACTGTCAGGGCTGTGAGCATGAATGGAGGTAGAGAGCTGGCCCTGGGATTGTGGCTTCCGTGGCTGGGACATTTCTCATACCATCCTTGTATTTGTTGCTTTAGCATCACATCACCAAATACCTGATATAAGCAATGTAAAAGGATGAATTATTTATTTTACAGTAGCAGGAATTGGAACCAGGGCCTTGTGCTTGCTAGGCAAGTACTCTAAAACTTGAGTCCAGAATTACTCATTTAGGCTCATAGTTTCAGAAGTTTCAGTCCATATTTCTTGGCCCCATTGACTCTGGGCCCATGGTGAGGCAGAACTTCATGGCAGTGGGAGCACATGGCAGAGGCTACCGACCTCACCTGCCAAGAATGCAAGACAATGGTGGCACGTGGGCTTTCTCCGTTTCCCTCTTTTATTCCCCCTGGACCCCAGCCTAGAGAATGGTGTCACCATATTCAGTTAATACTCTCTGGATATGTCCTCACAGACACCCAGAAGTATGCTCACCGGTCTTCTGTGTTCTTCTTGATTCAATCAAGTTGACAATCAAAAGTAACACCACAGTCCTGATGTCAGCCAAGACAGACCTGCTGGTGAAAGGCCGGGCCATTGTACCATAATTACCACCCTCACTGTCATCCATTTTTCCTCCAAGGGGATGTTCTTGAAGATGATGAAGACTATTTGGTGGATGAGCTTGGGCAACCTGTGGTCTCAGATGGTGAACTGGGTGGAGATGACCCTTCTGATGCCTCCAGCTCTGCAGCAGTGGCACCTGCCAGCAGGTCACCTGCACTAATCAAAAAGAAGCAGCATCCAACATACAAAGGTAGTTCAGCCTGCCTTTTCTCACTTGGGCAGGACAGTGGTCAAGTCAAGTCTTCAGGTCCCAGGAGAGGCCTAGCCCAGAAGGCAGAGGGTGGTAGAGCCAGGTTCCAGGGAGGGGTCCAGCCTCCACACACTGATTTCTCTAGGTATTTCTTTCTTTCTTTTTTCTTTTCTTTTCTTTTAACAACCTGTGCCCCTACAACACACTAGACTTGAGAGAGCATTCCTTTTATATTCAAGTGGTCACAGTTCTCAACTAGTTTACATTACTGATTCTACCCGGCAAAGCTCTTTGAGTCAACCCCTTAAAAGGCTTGTTTAACATCTGTGTCCTGATGTATTGTTTCATTCACACAATATTTTATATAGTCATATTACACAGTGGCATCATTATATCATGTAGACTTAAGAGCAGCTAAAAGGTCTTAGAACTGCCTCTCCCTGGAGCAAATGCTAGTCATTCTTTTGAGTGAGCATTGCATGACTAGATGCAGTGTAATTCACATTTCAGTGTTAAGACAGTTTGATGCTATTCAATCTACAAATGCCCAAACCACCTCCCACTTTGGGTCCCAGTGTTCCCCAGTTGGAGGGCAGCTCTAACAGCAGGTTCAGGAGCTTAGCTCCATGTCAGAACCTGTGAGCTGGGGCTGGGAACAGAGAGTAGGGCTGAAAGGGGATTAAGGGACTTCCCAGGGAGGAAGGTACCTCACCCGAGACAGACAAAAATCCCCATGTCCCCTTATTGTGTCATGGTCCTCAAACTGAGCAGTAGCTTACCTGACTAGAACCATGGGGAGTTTTTAACCTTACAGGTTGCAGATCCCTACCACTGAATTTTGGATCTGGCGTTTCACAAAGCTTCCCAAGTGGGTGGGATGTACAGCCAGGTTTGGGAAGTGGCTCCCAGGTTGGAAGCCATGGCCTTTATCAGAGTATGGAGGGGTTCTGTGCATTGCTCACAAAGGGACTTCAGCCCTGGTGTAGAAGTGACTGAAGGCAGGTGCTCTTCAGAGCAGAGGCGGCTTTTTCTCCAGGGCTGGCCATCATTCAGGCAGCCTCTGGGGTTGAAGCGAGTGCAGTGCAAATGCCTCTTTGAATGAAGAAGTGATAGAGCAATGTAGGATACTAGGCTGCCTTGGCCCATGGCATCAAGAGGGTACCTTCTCCATGCTGTGGGTGTTCATCCATTCTGGCCAGAAGGAGTCCCTGCTTCTCCCCAGTTCATCCTTAGACATGGAGGGAGCTGTTGGTCTCTTAGAATAGATGGCACACTCTTGGAAGGTGGCTGGCAGAGGCTTTGGGTGTTTAGGAACTTGTCACCAGATGCCAGGCTGGCAAAGAAAGGAGAATATCCTCAGCTTCTGAGCAGTGGTCATGTTTTCGAGTGAGGAATGAAAGACTTGTCTTCCTGGTTAGGTAAAGCCTTAGGGGCTCTGGTTTCCCACGGTCTCTTCCACTCTGTGGATGACTGTTCCAAAAGAGAACAGACCTATTCTTTAAAATACATAAGTGCCTCTCAAATCTGGCAAACAAACCACATCCTTGGTTTACTGAATGTTCCAAGCAGGCATTAGATGCCCCCTGCCCCAGCAGAGAGAGGTGCCAGTCCTGAGCAGGCCCCTCCAGCTGACTCACAGTGGCTCTGCCTGCTGTGGTCGGGTCTGTGTTTGGAAAAGACTATCTTTCTCACCGCCACCATGTCCTCCAGACGATGCTGAACTGGTGGAGTTCAAGCAGGAGCTGGAAGCTGTTGGGGATTTCCGCCACCGTTCTCCGAGCAGGTCTCTGTCCGTCCCCAATAGGCCTCGGCCACCTCACCCACCGCAGAGACCCCCCCCTCCAAGTAAGACTTTGCTTGCTTTGAGCTTGCCACAATGCCTGCTGGGAATAATTGCACACCTCCTGCTGCTGAAAGCCTCGCGCTAAACCTGCTTCCTCCTGCCACTGAGTTTCCACGATGCTTTTCCCCACCGTGCACTCCTCCTTGTCTAAATCCAGGATGTGATTGGCAGCAGAGATCACTAGGTTTCTCAGGGCAAACAAAACAGGTCCTTTGTAAAGTTGTTTATCCTGTAGTCTGCTTTTGCTTCCAGCTGCCTTCAGCTTGTAAACCTTTAGAGTGGAAAACTGAGCTGGATTAAGGTGCACACCAGTAATCCCAGCACCCAAGACATTGACCCCAGAGGAGCACAAGTTTGAGGCCAGCCTAGGTTATATAGCAAGACCCTGTCTCAAAAAGACAGAAAGAAAAATAGAGTGGAAAGTGGAACAGCAGCCCCATTCTAAGGGAATTTTCTAGCTTTTCTAGGCTGAGGGGTGCTTCCTTGCCAGCTACCTAGGCCTCCCTCTGCTTCCCAAGATCTGGTGACCAAGGCTCTCACACACATTCCTGTGGCCCAGGCCATGTCCTCGCCTTCTGTCCTTGGCATTCCTAGCACTCTGAGAATGACCCTATCCAAGCCTGGGCCTCGCTGGAGAGTGGTTTTCTTTTGACTCCTCAGACAGTGCTTTTCCATCAAACTTGCCTTACTAATCTAAAAATAAAGTCATAAAAATAAAGTCATGACATGCTTTGATCCATTTCTGCTTACTACTACAGTTTGCTTCTTCCTCCCGACCAAACTATTTTCCTAAGCTATTCCTTTCAGAGTTAAGCTTATGACAGCTTTCATCACAGTCGGTGGCAATCACAGCACATAGTCGTTGAAGCATATTTTTGCCATTCTTAGCTTATCAGAAAATAAAATATAAAAATGACATAAAAATTTTATAAGCCAGGTGTGGTGGTGTGTGTCTGTAATCCCCACACTTGGGAAGCAGAGGGAGGAGGATTGCAAGTTTGAGGCCAATCTGGGCCACATAGTGAGTTCCATGCCATTCCGATGGGACTGGGGTTTGAACTCAGGGCTTCATGCTTGCAAAGCAGTGCTGGTCCATTTTGCTCTGGTTACCTTGGAGGTGGGGTCTTGAAAACTGTTTGCCTGGGCTGGCCTCGAACTGCAGTCCTCTCATAGCCTCCCAAGTAGCTAGGATTACAGGCATGAGCCACCAGCACCCAGCTCAAAAAAAACCTTTTAATAAATAAAATTTGTAGGTCACATATTGTAAACATTTTATAAAGACAGAGAACTATGAAGAAGAGTCAAATTTAAAATTTATTTCATTACCTGCAGGTAATAGCTGTTAACCTTTTCTAGTTTACATATATCTACACACAGTGTAAAAAGTTTTTGAACAAAATTGGTATCTAATTTGTTTGGTTGCTTTTCTTTCATTTAATGTGTCCTACTTTCTCTGTGCAATTAAATATTCCAAAGCATGACTTATTAATGGCTGTTAGAAGAATTTATTTCTCTGATTGAGGACTTTGGGGATTTTGTTTTCCCTACAACACTTAAAAATGTGGTCTTAATAATAGTTATGTGTCTTAAACCACTTAAAAATCAGTTGGTTCTTAACAGCAAATTAGAGTGCCCCAGAGGCTTAGACTTAAATTTGCATTCAAACCTTGTTTCAGAGAATCTGCATTAATAGGCCAAGCTGTTAGAGAATGGAAAGGGACACCTTTTTTTGTGGTGCTGGGGTTGGAACTCTGGCCTAATGCACACTAGGCAAGTGCTCTACCACTGAGCTACACCCCAGCACCAGAAGACAAACTGGAGCTTTCATATGGCCCACCCCTGCAAGCGAGTGTCCCTGTGCCATGTAACCTCACAGACCTACATGGCCACTATCTCCTTCTCTTTCAACTAGCTGGCAATTTGCGACTTCTCTGAGGCTGACATTGTACCCTCGTTGATTTTTACAGCAGGTTTAATGGTGAAAAAGTCAGCATCAGATGCATCCATCTCCTCTGGCACCCACGGACAGTATTCAATCTTGCAAACTGCAAAACTCCTGCCAGGAGCCCCTCAGCAACCAGTGAGTTCCTTCATTCTGCTCTCAGACAGGCATCAGCATTTCAAAGCCAAGGGGCTTCTCTGAGATCACGAAGCACACCTTTTAGCCCTCTCCCTGCAGCTGCCTCAGCCCAGGGCCCCTAACTCTTAGTATAGCTCCTTTGTCTTACTGGGTACTGTAGAGAGAGGCACCTTGGTGAATAATCCCGAGGGTCTCTGTGAGGCAGGGCCACTGGCTTCCAGACTCCTAGTTTCTCTGCCTCTGACCCTTGCCTTTGCTCTTGGTCTATAAAGCATTGGTTGGCAGAAGGAAAAAGAGAAATTGAGAGTGCTGGTTAAGGCTAGTTGACAGAAGAGGCTAAAGAGAGACCTACAGGACCAGAATAACCAGGTAGAGAGGAGCACGGGGTTGGAGGGTGGATGCGGAGGTACAGGATGGCAGAGGGGAGAGGCCAGAGCTGCTTATGGAGTGTGTGGATGGTCAGCAGGGCAGAGGTGAAGGAGGGCAAGCTAGTGCCGATGTGGCCAGCCCAGGATATTATACATGGTGGCCAGCTGGGCTGGACAGGAACGTGCAGTCATGGCAGGTGTGAGGGTAAACCAGGTAACAGTGTGTATAGGGATGAAGGTGGGGCTGTGAGCTGAGCAAGCCGGGTGAGGAGGGAGCAATTGCACTTTTGGGGAAATGTATCTGGAAGGTGTCTTCATGCTCAAGTAGTCCGTGGAAGGCACGGCCACAGTTCTCTTCCCTGGCTTTTGAAATTAAGACAGAAGATGGTTTGCCCCCACTGCAAAAATCTGTCCCACCACCCAGTTTAGGAGAGGAGGGACATGAGCTCTGACCATGATGGCATGGCTCTTCTTGCAATGGGGTGCTCCTATGGGTGGTGGGGTAGATGTAGTGTTTTCATCACCATCTGGTGGGCTCTGCACATCTTACCTCCACGGATAGACCACCTACCACCTGTCCAGACACGGAGGCTCGTTTCCTGCCCATGTTAATATGCTTCTCTCCCCGATTCTGTCCTCAAGCCCAAGGCTAGGACTGGAATAAGTAAACCTTACAACGTCAAGCAGATCAAGACCACCAATGCTCAAGAGGCAGAAGTAGCGATCAGGTGTCTCCTGGAAGCTGGTGGAGGTAGGTGGGCTCTTGGAAATCTCCCCTGGCAAAGGGGGAGAGTATACTGTTCTTTGGAGAATCGTTTTTGAGAGACACACCACTGAATGGAAGTAGCCTTGAGCAACATTTTATTTCCTCACTTACATCTGTTTTCCATTTCAGATTACATGTTCAAAATTCAGTAAGTGTATAAAACAATCCCAAGATATTATTAGTAAGCAACACTGAAGGGAGAAATAAAATGAATTTTTAAAAAGGTTAATGCAGCAGGCACGAACTCATTATGCCAGCCCTGTGAAAAAGACAGTTGTGGTGTGTGTATGTATTTCAGGCACAAAGCCTACTGTTTATGTCACTGGCAAGTATAAATAAAGGCAGGGACCTTCATCCCATCACGCTGCCTGTCAGTTTTTCACTTCTTCACTGAACCCACGTGATCAGGCTTTACCTTGCAGTCTCTCCCCATTCCTTCACAGTCATTGCTAACTAATGTTTGTTGCTTTGGTTTTGGCCTTGTTCCACAGTGTCTTCCGGAGAGAGGTAATTATGGCCTTTGACAAGGCATGTATTTCTCATTGCCTGATTTGCTTTTAGTCAGTGTATTTAACCTTGGAATTCTTTTTTTTTTCAGTACTAAGGTTTGAACTCAGGGCCTTGTCTTGCTAAGGCAGGCCCTCTACCACTTGAACCATGCCCCCAGCCCTGCTTGGAATTCTGTAACATTTAAGGAGGGCATGAGTTAGGAGGCTACAAAATACTATTGTAGGATTAGACAGAACAGATGGTTTCTTTTTTAAATACTAATAAATAAATAAGGGGTAGGTACAGTGGCTCATGCTTATAATCCTAGGTACTTGGAGATGGAGATTGGGAAGATCATGATTTGAGGCCAGCTCAGGCAAAAAGTTTGCAAGACCCCATCTCAACCTGTAACTGCATAGTAGTGTGCTCCTGTCATCCTGCAATAAGAAGTGTAAATAAGAGGATTGTGGTGCATGCCAGCCCTATCTCAAAAATAACCAAAGCAAAAAGGTCCAGTGACATGGTTCAAGTGATAGACCATATGCCTTACAAGTATGAGGCCCTGAGTTCAACCCTCCAGTACTCCCAGAAAAAAAAAAAAAAAAAAAAAGGGTGGTGGTGCCATACTTGTAATCTCAGCTACTTGGAAGGTAGAGATGTGGAGGATCACAGTTAGAGGCCAGCTTGGACAAAAAAGTTAGTTGCAGGATCGCTGGTCCACCAATCTAACTGGGGGGGCGACTGGAGATGGAGAAAGGACAACGGATAGAAGACAAAGCTGCATAAAGTTGGGGCCAGGTGTGCTGGGTGCTCGGATGGAGACACACAACAGCCTCATTACTTCTTTTCTCTAATAACTCTTATGTTGCTTCTTTTCTTCTCTATTCTTTTCTGTTCTTTAAAGTCTCTTTCCTTAGACTCGCACTGTCCCATGTTTTCTTTAATCTCTCTTAACGTCTTGGTCCTCGTACTTGCAGACACACGACAGCAGCCACGTCTAAAAACTGCATTAGTATAACTCTTAAAGTCTTGGTCTTTAGATTTGCACTGTCCCAGGTTCTCTTTAGCTTTTCTTTAGCTTAGCTTTTCTAAAGCCTATGTATAAAGTTCTTAGTGCAGAAAGCTGCTCTGATGGAGACACACAACAGCCAGCAGCAGCAGCAGCAGCCTCACAAGCAGCCCACAGGCAGCCAATCAACAATCCTCCATCCTTCTTCAGTGAGTCTTTTGCATCCAGTGGTAAACAAGAAGGAGGAGCAACAGTTCTCTGGGAGGGTCATGACATTGTAACAAAAGAAACCTGCTTTCCTGCTTCTCTGAATGTAAACAACTTAGGAAAAGCAGCTATGCTGCATTTTGTTTCTCCCTCTCTTCTGCGGCTGGGGCCATGCCACACACAGCCTGTAGATCACTGAGCACAACTGTGCATGTGTCAAGTTCTCATAGACTTCTCATTATCTGCTCCTCACAGTGAGACCCCACCTCTACATGAGAGGCAATCACCATCTAAGGCCAAACCTGGGTAAATAGCGTAAAACCCTATCTGGAAAATAACTAAAGTATAAAAGGGCTAGGGGAGTAGCTCAAGTTGCAGAGCACCTGCCTAGCAAGTCCAAGGTCCTGAGTTCAAACCTCAGTACCACCAAAAAAATAACTAAAACTGTGGGTGTTAGAACACATATGTCCAGCAACTGATAAATGTGTAAACAAAATATGGTACATATGGTATGTCCATACAGTGGAATATTAATCAGACGTGAAAAGAATATATGCTACAACATGGGGAACCTTGAAAACATAATGCTAAGTGAAAACAATCAGACACAAAAGGCTGAATATTGTGTGATTCTGTTTATATGAAACATCCAAAACAGCAAATCCATAAGGTCAGAAAGTTATTAGTGGTGTCCAGGCTAGAAAGAGGGAAGGGGCATGACTGACACGGGTATGGGGTTTCTTTTTTGGCACAATGAAAATGTTCTGGAATTAGATAATGGTAATGGCTGTACACTTTGTGAACATATTAACCACCACTGAATGGTACGTATGAAATGGTTGAGTCTCATGGTATGTAAGCTATATTTTGATAAAGTTGTCACTTAAAAAACCTGTGGGACATAGACACCAGTAGTGGTTTGAGGTTCAAAAATCTACCCATAGTCCCAACGTAGCATCTTCTGGGTTATGGGCCTATTGAGTTTTTGGATCCTCTCCCCCGAGAAGTTTAAGTATGCACAAGGCTTAGCCATGGTGTGAGGGTCTCACTGACCTCTTGTTGGGACCGTTCATGGATCCCAGGCCACCTGCCACTGTGGGGAAGATGAGTGTGAAAAGCCAGGGCCAGACCCAGCTGGCTGGGCCTTAAGGACTTTTGTTTTAGATAAAAGGAAATGCACTGCTTAGTAACTCCTCACTGATATGTAGACTCTGTCCTCAATGCTTGAGTCATGTGACTTTATGTTTCAGGAGCCCCAGAAGCAGCCCTAAGTGCCATGGCCCTGCGGAACCAAGGATCCTCCAGAGCAGAGCCCACCCCCGGGGAGGCTACACTAGAGACCTCCCAAGGGCCCCCACTCCTGCCCCGTCGGCCCCCACCCAGGGTTCCCACCATCAGGAAGCCAACTTTGAGAAGGACAGGAAAGGTAAGAGCCCTCCACAGTGACCCGCTTGCTCCTAAACTGCTCAGGTGTCTTGTCAGAGAAAATGACATCTCAGACAGAAGTCTAGCTGGATTTGATTTCTCCATCCACGTCCCTGAGCTCCTGAGCTGCATATTTAAGGAAAACAGTTCTCTTGGCATCTGCTTTACCCCCCATTTTCCTGTTGGGCAGAACAAGGAACTGACTATCTCCTTCACAGGTTCTTACTGTGCTGAGAACAGTTTGGAGCGATGATGCTTCCTGAATGACTGAGGCTTTTTCCCGAGTGGTCCACTGCTGCCATTTGTGTGTTCTATGTGTTGTGCACATGTGGTTGCACACGCATGGGGTTTAGTTGGTTCCTAGATTAGCAATCCTGACCCTCACGCGGCCCAACAGCTTTTCTTGCCACTTTTCTTGCAGATCGTTTTTTGTTCTCGCTCTCAAGCTTCTCAGCCTTGCTTACTGCTTCAAAGACATGAGTTTGTAAGGACAGTAGCTGCTCAAAGACTGGCACCTATAGACACATCTGGCTCTTCTGTTTGATCCGGTTCTAGGACCGGGCTACTCGGTAATCGCTGCCTGGGCGTCCGGGACCTGCTGCCTTCTGCCTGCCATGCAAGAGGCGGTTCTGCAACTCTCTTCACTGTGCTTGCTGTGTTTTCTCAGTTGCGCTCTGTCCCTCATTGGCTCATAGCTGTTTGTCCATTTTCCATGCCTTTTGTAAAAATGGACCTTTTCCCTCTTCCTCTTCTGTACTTTTGCTTTGTCTTTTCCTTTAAAAGCCAGGAGCAGAAGTGGATTCAATTTGGGGTCCATGGCACAAGGCTGGTGGAGAAGGGATTATGATTTAGTTTGTTTTCTAAAGAACCAAAGGAAACATTGGGAAACCAATGCTTACCTCTTGATTGCCCCTTCCACGCACAAGCTTCATTTCGTGTTGTGCAATTGTTTTCTTTGTGTGCAGTTCTCTTTCTTCTGTACTGAAGTAGAAGAAATTTAAGGAGAAGGTGTCCCCTAGTTTTTCAGTTAGCTTCATGCTCTGAGTTCCTTCCCCTAGCATGGCACTGACTGTGAATTACCTGCAGAAGCTGCAGCCTCGGGAACACTGAGTAAGAGAAGAGCTAAGCTAGTTCTTAAGTTAACAAAGATGACTTTGTCTCAAAACAGCCACTGCAGCTCTGGTTTTAAAATCCACACTCATCTTTCATTGGATACTGGGCTGACCTGGTCCACGTGTGCTTCTGCCATGCTTCTTTCGTGTCTGGCATCCCGGACATTCCCCAACCCGAAATTGGCTGGAATGTCAGCCCAGTCTCATTCTTCTCTGTTCCCCGCTGACCTGAGTGTTCTCTGAGTCTCTTCCTCCCCAATGCTGGCTTCGTATTTACACTGTGCCTTGCCTTTTCTCAGCCCATGTCACCAGAAGAACACGTTGAGCAGCAGCCTGTCTGTTTTACAATCGGTCCCCTGGACTCAAGCCTGGAGACCCCTCCTTTGTCCACAGCCCCTCGAGTCCCACCTGTTCCCAAACCGAGAACATTTCAGCCTGGAAAAGGCACCGAGAGGAGGCTCAGCAGCGGAAGGCCAGCACCAGATGAAGCCCCTGCCCTAGCAGGAGCCACCGAGCTGCCACCTCCAGAGGTTTCATCCATGGCACCCAAGGTGCCCCCGAGGAGGAAGAAATCTGCGCCGGCAGCTTTCCACCTGCAGGTCCTGCAGAGCAACAGCCAGCTCCTCCAGGGTGTCACGTGCTGCAGTGATAGTGGCAGCAGCCGTCCACCCGGACTCCAGCCTGATGCTGACTCTGTCTGTCCACAAGTGGATTTTCTTGGCACTTCATCTGTCACAAGCCCCAAAAGTGATGGCCCCAGAGGGACAAAGCTAGAGACAGCCTCTCTTCTTGGTGACTATCAGGATCCCTTCTGGAGCCTTCTCCACCACCCGAAACTGTTGAATAACACCTGGCTTTCCAAGAGCTCTGACCCTCTGGACTCAGAGGCCAGGAGCCCCGAGAGGGCACAAATAGACCCCACACAGGCCAGCGCGCCAGCAGCTGAACAGGAGCTGCCACTAGACCATGAGGAAAAGAACTTCAGTCACTGGGTGACCATCAGTAACAAAGACAAGAGGACAACTCTGCAGGTGTTCGACCCACTGGCAAAAACATGACCAAGCAGCTTTGACAGCACACTAGCACAGACCACTTACTTCTTCCTGTGGGCATCTCTTGACCGGGTCAAAGGAACATCTATTTAAAGGCACACTGGAAAAACCACTCGTGCATCTGTCATTCTTGTGTCGTTTACAAAAGCAATGTCTCTTATTCGATAAGATTATTATGCAGCCACCAAAATTTGTTTACTTAAGAAGTGTGCGTTCTAAGTTTGCCCTCAGGGGAATGGGTGCCTCTTGTTCAGATTTGGAGCATGGATTCTAAGGAAGGAAATATAGCCAGTGAGGCCCAAGAAGTTCTCTCCTGCTGAATTTTAAATGGTTGTTTAATTTATGTGTGTGTGGTGAGTTTTTGTTGCTGTTGTTCTTTTTGTGTTTTATAGATTTGGACTGTCTTTTGGATGACCCACCTGAAGGTGGGTGCATAAAAGATGATATTAAAAGTAGTTGGGACCTTTAAAAGCTGTTCTGGCCCACTTTAAATCAGGTTTAAAGAAATCAAGATTTGGAAGCAGCGATTAGGTCAGTCAGACTAGAGTGTGCAGTCCGGAGCCCTCAAGTCTGTAAGTCAGCTCTTCATAGCTGCAGGTTCTCCGGCCACAGGTTCAACCAACTGCCGATGAAAATACTCAGAAAATTGCATCTGAACGGAACATACATGCAGACTTTTTCTTGTCACTGTTCCCTAAAGAACACAGCACAATGATTTGCATAGCATTTGTACTATGTTAAATATGCTTAATAATCTAGAAATGATTTAAAGTACACGTGAGGTCATGCATAGTTCTGTGTAAACAGCAGACCATTTTATGCAAGGGACATGAGCACGTGGGAATTTTTGTATCTAACAGGGTCCTAGAACCCATCCCCCACAGGCACTGAGGGATGACTGTGCATTTATATTAACTTTGATTGTCTGTGAATCCTTTGGGAGCTGGTGACATACACTGTTACAGTTCTGTAGTATGTAACATTAGCTTGCACTTGGTTTAAACTAGCTGAAAACTCCTGTTCCATGGCTTAGACACTGACCTCCCTGTGTGTTGCTACAGTCTTGAACTGTATGTGCTGTTTAAACTAATTTGTGTCCACCAGTTGTGCCCTTATCCAGCCTCGCATTCATTTTGTATTCCGTATCCCATAAAGACACACAATGAGAAAACTCATACAGGCACATAAGTTTGTCATTATGGTATAATATTTGTTTCAGCCTCATCTGCCTGGCTGTGGGTTTAGGAAGGAAAGCACTGTGTGTCCCCAGGGCAGTGTGTCTGGGTTTGCTGCTCTAGTGTGTTTCTTTTTTTTTTTTTTCTCTTTTTCTTTTTTTATGCTTTATCTACTTAGGTATATCCTTTTTTTAGTGTGTTTCTTTTTGACCCGTACATTTTTCTTACATGTTTCCAACCACTCATCACCTGTTCAAGGACTGGAGAAGACATCACCATACTGTTTTATGTTAAAATAATGTTATAAGGTCTTGGGTCCATTTAGAGCAGATGCCATACTTTTGTTAAGAAGTTCAATTGTTCAGGAGGCTGAGGCAGGAGGATCATGAGTTCAAGGTCAACCTGGACTACAGAGCAAGACCCTGTCTCAAAAAAAGAGAAAAAGAAAAAGAAATTCATTGCAATTCTTATTGTGCCACCTGCATATTTAGGAGTCTTGAGAATCACAGAATCGCACAGCTGTGTACTGTGTCAGTCCCCACATGACGTGGCTGAATGCTAACACTTAGTCATTTTGTCTGGGACACACTACTCTGTTTGTGACCCATCAGCCTCTGGGATTTCAGAATTCATTTCATTGTCACTATCAAGATATTTTGCAAGTTACTTAAATGCAGCACTCACAAACAAAATTTCACATACCTCATTTCATCTGAAAACTGCTCATAGAAAAAGGAACTAGTGACCCACAGAGATAAACAAGTACTTGACCAGATATAAAAGGTGATATTTAGGTGATTAGGTCACCTTCTGTGGCACTTACATACTTGAAAGGAGTAAGTTGTTCACCGCTTGTGTTTGTTAGAGTTAAAAATCTTATAGAAAGGTTTAGAGGGAGAAAACAGGGTGGATTGCTTAGAGGAGTTAAATGAGTGGGCACGACATACACCACTATTAACAGGTACATCAGGAACACAATTGAAGGCTGCTTCTTTCAAGTGCTGTTGTTCCCAGTGGAGAGGAGCTGACTTTGAAAGCAAAGCAGACATGTAACCAGTGAGAAAAGCAGGGGTGGTCAGCTCCACAAAGTTGATCATGAAGTCAGGAAGAGGCCTAATTTGTAGCAAATGAGAAGTACGGGGAGCAGGTGTTCCATGAAGACAAGGACTCACCAGCCAGTGGCTCTTGAGTATGTGACAGTGTTAATATCAAGCATTGTGTTCACCTGAGGAAGGTCACAGGAAAAATTACAAGTAGTTAATGTTAAGAATTTTTGAGGTGTGGTGGCTCCAGCTTGTAATCCTAGCTACTCGGGAAGCAGAGATTGGGAGGATCATACTTTGAGGCCAGATTGGACAAAAAGTTCTGAGACCCCCATGTCAACCATAGGCTGCGCACATCATCCCAACCGTGTGGGATAAGTAACAAGGTTGTGGTCCAGGTTGGCCCCAGCATTAACGTGAGGCCCTATTCAAAAAGTAACCTAAGACAAAAAAGTGCTGAGGGCATGCCTTGAGTGATAGAACACCAATGTCACAAGCACAGCCCCCAAGTTCAAACCCCAGTACTGCCAAAAAAAATAATTAACAAGTGTTATTTAATCATGGGAGTTCAAGTGTAATGGGCAGCATAGACTGGATTTTGAGTTGGTAATATGTATGGTTCACTTAAAAAAAACCAAAACAAAAAGCAATTGGAATCACCTTACCTATTTTTTAAATCAGTGCTCACCTACCTGGGAGGTTTCCCAAGTCAGCAAGCAGAGTCAACTGGATAACCTTGATCATGAACAGCTGCCACTGAGGGAATTTTATTCTGTGGATTTTAAGTTTTGGTGTGCCTTTGATGCCACCACAGGCCTTGTTATTGTGACCTTGTCCTCATTACCACTGTCTGTAGCATGATACAGTCGTCTGCAGAGGGTTTTAGGTACAATATTTTGCAATTTACCTCTGTCTCTGGCCCTTTTACAACACAATCTTCTTAGACCCTCTGCCCATTTTTAAAACTTGTTCTAGTAAGTGATTGAAATTAGGAAATACGCTCATGTCGTTCCTGTAAAAGCTTACAGTTGTTGAAGTTTCAAGACACATAAAAATTTTCCCTGCTGTGCGTGAGAGTAAGCAAAGGAATGTGTTAAAGCTTTCACTTTGTAAAGAAGTCATTTGGGAAGCTGCAAAGATGATTTGTTGGGGTGCTAGTGATTAATAAAAACCTTGTAATATTTTTTGAGCTATAACGTGTACTGATGTATAGGATACCTATTAAATACTTTTGGTTTTTTTTTTTAAGTTGGACTTATTTTCAGATATGAAGAGAACCTTGAAATATCTTCTTTGGCTAGGCTTCTGTTCTGGACAAATGTAATTGCTAGTTATTCCTCTGTGTGAGTTTTTTTATTTGTTTGCGTTCTTCTTTTAGGTACTGGGGTTGAACTGAGGGCTTCTTCACACTTGCTAGGCAGGTACTCTACAACTTAGGCCTCATCCCCAGGCCTCATTCATTTTTTTTAAATGATCAGGTTGTTGAAAAAGCAGGAAAGTAGTAAGATTAAAGATTTCTGACTTGAAAACTGCCGACAGGACCCACACCTATACATACATAGTAACTGTTCCACTGTGTAAGACTTCAGAGATTCATTTTATAGGACCTTCCGGCAAACTCAGGACAGTGTGAACTGCTGGGACGGCCTGAATACATTACTGCAGAGAGGCAGGGAAAGGAAAGACACATTCTTTAGGCTCTGCCCAGGTTTAGTCTAAGCTAATTAACACACAAAGTACAGGTCATACTGTTCTTTGGTGGCCTTCAGGAACAAGAATGTACTGGTAATCTCCAAACCGTAAATTCAGCCAGTCCTTCCTGAGCAGTAGGAAGTACTGCATTGAATTCACTTGATCGGAGCACCCAGCACAGAGACGTGGATGAGGAGGAAGGAAATAGCCAGTTTCAGGACCTTTGTTTTTAAGGTAGTGGTGGTGGGCCTAAAACTCTCTTTCACACATGCGTGTCTCAATGAGGTAAGGAGAGCTCAGTGAGTGATGTCAGCAGAGGGTTAGGGAAGATTTGAAAGAAGAGTTAAGAATTTCTGACACTGTGTGTCTTTCATTAAAATTTCTCCCTGCTTCCCCATTCAGCCTCCCCTATTATCAACACCCTGCAGCAGAATGGTGCGTGGGTGTACAACTGATGAACGTGCCTGACTCATCAGTGTCACCTAAAGGCCGTGGTTTAACCTCAGGCTTCGCTCTTGGTGTTTGTGCATTCCAAGGGTTTTGGCAAATGTACGTGGTGTATCTACCACTGTAGGATCACAGCAGTTTCACTGCCCTAAAAATCTTCCGTGCACCTCCTGTACCTTCCCCTTTCCTCCAGACCGGAGCAAGCACGTTTTTTACCTTCTCTGTGGTTTTGCTCTTCCCACAGTGTCAGAATTCGAGTTGATACTGACCCTTTTGCTGAGTGATGGGATGCGGGATCCGGCACCTCTTTTCATGGTTGGCAGCTTGTTCCTCTGTACTCACTGCCCCACTGTCTACATGGACCACAGCTTATTCAGTGAACCTACTGAAGCGTCTCTTAGTTGGGTCCCCGCTATCAATTATGAAGCTGCTATAAATTCCGATACGAGGTTTTTGTGTGGACACATTTTTTAACTCATTTTGGTGAATACCAGAGAGTGCAGTAGGGGCTTTGTAAGAAACTGTGACATTGTCTTCCAAAGTGACTGTACCATTTTGCGTTTCCGCCAGCAGTGAGTGAGTTCTTGTTGCTCCACATCCCTGGAGCGTCTGGTGTAATGTTTGGATTTTAGCCATTATAATAGCCATGTAATGGTATCTTTTTAAATTTGAATTTCCTAATGTTCTGTGATGTACATATCTTTTCATATACTTGTTTATGTATATATTTGGTGACTTGCCTCAAATCTTTGGCCTGTTTTTTAGTTGGGTTGTTCATTTTCTTACTGTTGAATTTTAAGAGTGCTTTGTATATTTTGGATAACAGTCCTTTATCAGATGTGTCTTTTGCAAATATTTTCTTCAGACTTCTGGTTCTCTTGACATTGTCTTTTGCAGAACAGAAGGATTAAGAATTTGAAAAGCATGGATTGGTGGAGTGGCTCAAGTACTAGACTGCCTGCTTAGCAAATGCCAAGGCCCTGAGTTCAAAATCAGTACCACCCAAAAAATTTAAAAGTAAAAAAGTGGATTTATGCTCCTGGAAAGGATGCTCACTGATGAGAAAGACAATTTCAGAGGGCCTTAAATGACAGTTTAGGGTTTTAATCTGTAGATAATAGTGGGCAGTGGGAGTATGAAGTCTACGGTGGAATGAATCTGATCACAGGCTTTAAATGAGCTAACAGCAACTCTTCAGAACATCTAGAGATGGTGTGAGGTAGGGCTCCCACATCTCTTCTTGAGGAATAATTACCCTAGTTCCCATTATTAAATAGGAAACCATTGCTCTTGCTTCTTTTAGTAGGCTTCTCAAGAAGTTAATTTTACTGACATTTTCAAATGGTGAGATTTATTTACCCTAATTATTTTTATTTTAAACATTT